CCATGGCTAAATACCTACTGTGTGCCAGGCACGGTGCTCACCTCTGGGCATACAAAACAAAGGCAAAAAACAATCCCTACGCTCAAGGAGTTCACTATCTAATAGTGGAGACAATATACAAGGTACATACAAACAAGATATAAACAGGATAAATTGAAGATAATCAACAGAGAGACACTAGCAATAAAGGAAATCCGGAAGGGCTTCTTACAGAGAGCAGGTTGCTATGAAGCTCAAATGATGTGTCTATGTAATAAGGTCTTATCTAAACTTTGTATCTCCTCCTCACCCTCCTCTCTCCTCTCCCATGCAGAAAAGGGCCAGACTGGGGATTTCATTCCCATAAGTTAAATCCAGGGTAAGGAAATCACCTCTATCAATTTCAGTTGTTATTATTCCCCTGATTGGTTAGAATTGCATCCTGATTAAGAATTCTGAATCTGATTTTGAAATTAAGAAAACTATTGAACTAATAAATAAAACTAAGAGCTAGTTTGATGAAAAAACTAATAAAATAGATAAACCTTTAGTTAATTTAATTTAAAAAAAGAAAGAAGAAAACCAAATTACCAGTATCAAAAATGAAAAGGGTGAATCTACCACTGAGGAAGAGGAAATTAAAACAATAATTAGGAACTATTTTGCCCAACTGTAAGCCAATACATTTGACGATCTTAGTGAAATGGATGAATATTTACAAAAATATAAATTGCCCAGATTAACAGAAGAAAAAGCAAAATACTTAAAAAACCCTATCTCAGAAAAAAGAAATTGAACAAGCCATTGATGAACTCCATAGGAAAAAATCTCCAGGGCCAGATGGATTTACAAGAGAATTCTATCAAACATTTAAAGAACAATTAATTCCAATACTATATAGCCTATTTGGGAAAATATGTGAAGAAAGAGTCTTACCAAATTCTTTTTATGATACAAATATGGTGCTGATACCTAAACCGGGAAAAGTCAAAACACAGAAAGAACATTATAGACCAATTTCCCTAATGAATACAGAGGCAAAAATTTTAAATAAAATATTAGCAAATAGATTACAGCAACTTATCACAAGAATAATAATACACTATGACCAGGTAGGATTTATACCAGGAATGCAGGGCTGGTTCAATATTAGGAAAATTATTAGCATAATTGATCATATCAACAACAAAACTAACAGAAACCACATGATCATCTCAATAGATGCAGAAAAAGCTTTTGACAAAATACAACACCCATTCCTATTAAAAAATACTAGAGAGCATAGAAATAGATTCTTCCTTAAAATAATAAGTAGCATCTACCTAAAACCTTCAGCAAGCATCACATGTAATGGGGACAAGCTAGAAGCATTTCCAATAAGATTGGGGGTGAAACAAGGATGTCCATTATCACTACTGTTGTTCAATATGGTACTGGAAACATTAGCTTTAGCAATAAGAGAAGAAAAAGAAATTGAAGGTATTAGAGTAGGCAAAGGAGAAACAAAGCTATCACTCTTTGCAGATGATATGATGATATACTGATCCTAGAGCATCAAGTAAAAAACTACTCAAAATAATAAACAACTTTAGCAAAGTTTCAGGCTATAAAATAAACCCACATAAATCATCGGCATTTCTATATATTACCAACAAAGCCCAACAGCAAGAGATAGAAAGAGAAATTCCACTTAAAGTTACTGTAGACATTATAAAATATTTAGGAGTCTACCTACCAAAACAAACCCAGGAACTATATGAACACAATTACAAAACACTTTTCACACAAATAAAGTCAGATCTAAATAATTGGAAAAACATCAGTTGCTCATGGGTAGGCCAACCTAATACAATAAAAATGACAATTCTACGTAAGCTAATTTACTTATTCAACTCCATACCAATCAAACTACCAAATAATTATTTTATAGGGCTAGAAAAAATAATAACAAGATTCATTTGGAATAACGAAAGGTCCAGAATATCAAGGGAACTAATGAAAAGAAATTCAGGGAAGGTGGCCTAGCCATTCCAGATCTTAAATTGTATTCTAAAGCAGCAATCATCAAAACTACTTGATACTAGCTAAGAAATAGAGTGGTGGATCAGTGGAATAGGTTAGGTATGCAAGACACAGTAGTCAATGACTATAGTAATCTACTGTTTGATAAACCCAAAGACTCCAGCTTCTGGGATAAGAACTCACTCTTTCACAAAAACAGCTGGGAAAACTGGAAAAGAGTATGGCAGAAACTAGGAATAGACCGAAATCTCACACCATATACCAAAATAAAGTCAAAATGGGTTCATGATTTAGATATAAAGGCTGATACTATAAGCAAACTGGGAGAACAAGGAATACCTTACCTATCAGATTTATGGAGAACAGTAGAATTTATGACCAAACAGGAGAGGGAGAACAATATGAAATGCAAAATGGAAAATTTTGATTACATTAAATTGAAAAGTTTTTATACAAACAAAGCCAATGCAACCAAGATTAGAAGGAAAGTAGAAAATTGGGAAATAATTTTTACAATCAATGTCTCTGATAAGGGCCTCATTTCTAAAATATATAGAGAATTAAGTCAAACTTATAAGAATACAAGTCATTCTCCAATTGATAAATGGTCAAAGGATACGAACAATTCTCAGATGAAGAAATTGAAGCCATCTATAGTCATATGAAAAAATGCTCTAAATCACTATTGATTAGAGAAATGCAAATCAAAACAGCTCTGAGGTACCACATCACACCTATCAGATTAGCCAACATGACAAAACAGGAAAATGATAAATGTTGGAAAAGATGTGTGAAAATTGAAACACTAATGCATTGTTGGTGGAATTGTGAAATGATCCAACCATTTTGGAGAACAATTTAGAACTATGACCAAAGGGCTATAAGAATGTGTGTATAGCCTTTGACCCAGCAATATAGGGCTATATCTCAAAGAGATCATACAAATGGGAAAAGGACCTACATGTACAAAAATATTTATAGCAGCTCTCTCTGTAGTGGCAAAGAACTGGAAACTAAGAGGATGTCCATCAACTGGGGAATGGCTGAACAAGTTGTGGTATATGAATGTAACGGAATACTATTGTGCTATAAGAAATGATGAACAGGCAGACTTCAGAACAACCTGGAAAGACTTGCATGGACTGATGCTGAGTGAAGTGAGCAGAACGAGGAGAATGTTGTACACAGTAACAGCCACATTGTGCAATGACTAAAGTTGATAGATTTAACCTTTCTCAGCAATGCAAGGATCTAAGACATCTCCAATGGTTTCATGATGGAAAATGCTATCCACATCCAAAGAAAGAACTATGGAGTTTAAATGCAGATTGAAGCATACTATTTGCTCTTTTTTTTTCTTCTGTTTTGTTTTGTTTTCTCTTTCTTGTGGTTCCTCCTATTGGTTCTAATTCTTCCTTACAACATGACTAATGTGAAAGAAAATATGTTTAATAGGAATGTATATGTATAGCCTATATAAGATTGGGTGCTGTCTTGGGAAGGGTGGGGGGGGGATTTGAAACTCAGAAACTTATGGAAGTGATCGATAAAAATAAATTAATTTTTTAAAATCCCTCAAAAAAAAAAAAAAAGAATTGCATTCTCCCAGAGAGCCCTGTTTCTACACTCATTACTTTCTTTATAAAGGTGCTGGGAGGATTGTTTCAATGTAGGAGATGTAGGAATATGAGGAGACAGAAAGGAAAGTGTTTCCCATTTTTATCTTTTATCCTCTCTCTCTCTCACACACACACACACACACACACACACAGAGTGGGGGCGGCTGGAGCAGTGGAGATTGCAGGAAGGGCAACAAGCTGTTTTCCTAAGTATTCTTAGGGACAATTGCTGGGCTTCCAGGACTCTAGAAGAGGGAGGCTGATGGATTTAAGTGCCTCACTTAAATCCAATTCACGGTAGGGGCAAGACACCATCCTGTGAAGTCACTGGTCCTTTTCAGAAAAAGGACCCACAACAAACATTCAATTATTCAGCTCAATCCGCAAGCAGACCATCTTTTGTAGTTATCTGTGGAGGTCTTATCCTTTCTGGACTTAAAGTTTCAAGAGGCAAAGTCCAAGTATTTATGTAAACTTTGTCCTTCCCCTCCCTGGCCCAGGGAACTGGTCTGAACTTGTAGTAACATTTATTAATGAACATTAATGAATGTAGCCTACTACATTCAGGGACAGCTAAGTGGCTTAATGAATAGAGCTCCTTGTCCTCCTCCCCATGACTCCCTGGCTGCCTTCAAGTCCCAGCTAAAGCTTCACTTTCTACAAGATGCCTTCCTCCATCACCCTTTATTGATTTTCCCCTTTATTGATTATTTCCAATTTATCCTGCGTCTCTTTTGTCTGTACAAAGTTGTTTGCTTGTCGTCTCCCCAGTTAAACTGGAAATTCCTGCAGAGCCACATCTGTTCTTCGTTTTTCTTTTTATCTCTAGCGCTTAGCACACAGCAGGCACTTAATAAATGCTCCTGGACTCAACTCATTGATACAAGTCCTAGACCAGGGATGTTCCCCTTCTGATGGAGGTCGGCATCTCCTCTGCAGCTTGCAGCGCAGTTCCCTAGAGCTCTGAAAATGCAAGTGGCTCGCCCACGGTCACTCAGCTAGGTTTTTGCTTTTTGTTTTGTTTTTTTTTTTTCAGGCCAGCTCTCTCTGCAAAACCAGCTTTAGTCTGTGCTTAACAAAGGTCAATTGAGCAGAATCGCCCGGCCGCGTGGCGATGCTGAGTCTCCCCGCCAGGGGGCGCCTTACCATCTCCCGCCAGCTCCCGCCACACCCACACGAAGGGCACCTACCTCAAGGGAGGGGTTCCCCCCCCGCCCCGCGCCTCCACCTCCAAGCGCAGACATTAGCAATCTATCTCGAGAGAGCGGCACGGCGAGCGCGGGGCTCTCGGCGCTCGCTCCGGAGCGCACTCCCTGGGCCGCCTGCGGTGAGCGGGAGAAAAAGCAAGGCGCGCGAGAGCCGGAGGCGAGGCGGCACGCGGCGTGGGTGGGGACAAGGGGCTCCCCCTCCCGACACGCTCTTCCTGGCCACTGTTGCACGCGTCCCGAGAACAGAAAGAAGGAGAAGGAGGTGGGAGGATGGCGGAGCCGGCGGACAAGCCCTACCGGGCCGAGTACGCAAAGAGCGGGCGCGCCTCCTGCAAGAAATGCGGCGAGAGCATCGCCAAGGACTCGCTCCGCTTGGCCATCATGGTGCAGGTAGGAGGACGGGCCCGGGAAGCCGCTTGGATGGCGTCTCTGGCGGGGCCTGGGGGAAGCGAGCCGGAGTTCTGCGGGACCTCCCCTCCCCCCTCCTCCTTTCCCAGGAGGCTTCGAACCTGCGGCCCGGGGTGGGGGAGGGCGCCCTCGGCCTCGCACTCGACCCCCCCGCCGGGTTTTCGCGCCTCCCCCCCATTCCGCGCGGCCCGGCGGGTGGGCGGCGGTGGGCCGGGTTTGTATGCACTTGCCTGGCTCGGGATTGGGGCTGCTTTTCCCCAACCTATGGGAGGCTCCTAAACTTTTTCTCTGACCATTTCACAAACAACAACAACGATGATCTCAGGGTGCATCGGGCCAGTGCCAGGCCTAAGCCAGGAGCCCCCGGGAATGGGATAGACACCGGTGCCTCCCCGTGCCTGCAGAGGACGTGCCTTTTGCAGGGTTTTGCGGACCCTGCAAGCAAAGGTCGGGGTCCGTTAGGCGCCCTTGCGTGCTCGGCGCGCCGGGTGCTCCCGTTTCTGCTCCAGGGGGTTGGGTGCGGAGGCTGGCATGCCTCTGCCTGCTCCTGCGGGAGCCGCGGGGGGGCTTTTCCTCTGCCCCGGGCTCCCCGCACACCTCCCCCGCCCTCCCACCTCCTCGCCGTGGAGGAGCGGGTCCAGCTTTGAGCACCGTCCGTGGGATTCTGAAAGCCTCAGATAGGGAGGAGGGGGTAAAGGAAAAGAAAAAAAAAAAAGCTGAGTGGCCTAATTCTTTGTCCTTTAAAATTGTTCTCTGGAGAGCTCTGATTTTCCCACTGCCATATTCCTTGGGTTTGGGCTAGGGTTAGGCAAAGAGATGAGCAGCTATCTGCAAGGGGTGTTTTTTAAAATAATTCGTTTAATAAGTGTGCATAGTTTAATGCCGGGAAATTGCATTCTGCCTTGGCGTTTCGTGATGAATGACATAGCCCTGGACTTCAGAAATGCACAATGGGGATAGAATTTTTAAACCTTTACTATGACACACAGAGATGATGCCTTGGCCCCAGCTCTGCTCTGGAAATCAGTTGTAGAGGGGTAAGATTCCCATCAGAGAGCCCTGTTGGGCCATCGTTGTTATGTAGGGATCAATTCCAAAACAGGAAGACTTCTGGGATTGCACGGTATTGATATTTGATACTGGAAACATGACTTGCACAAGTTTTTCTAATAGAAAATAGAAGGGAGGGGATTGAATGGGTACCAGAAGGCCTTGAGTGCACACCCAGCTATCTCAGACTCATCTGGGAGGGTGAAGGAAACTCATTAAGTTTCACTTGTAAGTTATTGTTTCTTCAGTCTATTCCTGAGGCTGCCCCCAGCATTGAAAGTCAGTTAAGTGCCTCTGTTTCTCCCATCTCCTAATCCCTCTTTAGAGTTTGGATTGGGACCCTTGAACAGTTACTTATGAACAAAGAGCCCACCATCTTTCTCTAACTTTGGGTGATTTCAAAGTGCTGGGCTAGGTGTTGAAGTGGAGAGTGCCAGGCCTAGAGTCAGGAAGACTTAACCTTCCTGAGTTCAGATTTGGCTTCAAGACACTTACAACTGTGTCACCCTGGGCCCTGTTTGCCTTGCTTTCCTCATCTGTAAAATGAGCTAGAGAAGGAAATGGCTTCTTTGCCAAGAATACCCCAAAATGGGGTCATGAAAAGGAGGACACACTGAAAAATGAACAACAAAAGTGTTCTAAGAGGGAGAGGCTGGGATGCTAATTAAACAAACATCTCATAGAATTACTGGGACCTCCTAACCCTAGCCCTCAACTCTTCCCCTATCTATCTAAATCTTTACTACCCATCTGCTTCCTTGGAGCCATCCTCTATCACCAACCCTCATTCATTTATTTACCCTAGAAATGGTGCATCATCACCTATGACCTAAAATATACAACCCTGTATGCTCATTGGTTCATAGGTTTTAGCTTTATCTCTTAATTAGGCTGTTAAGATTTGTGGAATCTTATAGTGGTTACTGTAGGAAAAGTTCTGATGGCAGAGTCAGAAGACGGGGGTTCAAACCCGCCTCTGTTTGTGTGGCCTAAGGCAAGCCACTTAAAGCTGTAAAAAAGAAAGGATTGGACTGCTTGACCTCTGAGGTCCCCTCATCTTCTACTTCTAGAATCCTTAAAATCATTGATAAAACCTGGAAGGGACCTCAGAGGAAATATTAATGCTAGAGCACTGAGATTGGAGTAAAAAGATCCCAGGTCCGTACTGTTCTACGGCCTTTGTAGCCTTAGTCAATTTTAGATCTCAGCCTCAGTTTTGTTTTATGGAAAGGCATTACACTTAATAGATGATTTCTGGGGGCCTTTCTGGAGCTAAGGTTCCCTGATTCTAAGTAATCTGAACACTACCAATCTTAGAAAGGAAATATGTTCAAATGGAAAATCTTTCTGAAGAGTATTGGACAAAAAATATCTACAGATTATTAGGAAACTCGGGCAGAAAATTAATTCCCTGTTCATTAATGGGATAGTTTTAAAGGTATGGATAGGAAAATCATAGGATCATAAATTTAGAACTGATAGAGGATGTAGAATTCAACACTTTGATTTTACAAATGACAAAAGTGAGATCCACAGAAGTTGTGACTTGCCCAGGGTCACACAGTTGGTAGATTTCTGAGTCAGAATTTGAACCTAGGCTCCCAGCTCTCCAGTCTTGTGCCCCAGCCACTACAGTATGTGTAAATGCTCATGCAGTTACAGGTTCCATCTGATGCATAATAGAACCACCTTAGAGGTCATCTCATTTAACTCTCATTTTACAGTTGAGGAAATTGAAATAAAACTTTAAAACTCTCCCAAGATCACATAGGCAATAAGTAGGCAGAGAAAGCAGGCATTCTTCTGACACTAGATTTGGTGGTCCTTGCCTGCTTCTCAGGGAAATGAGCCTAGGTGCCAGGATTTATTTTTTATCTGTCCTTGGGATACAGCCTGACACTTTATCTAATGTTTTTTTCCTTTTTACTATAGACTTAACAAATATTGACATTTTCGTATGCAAAGAACAGAAAAAGAGGATTATGCAGGGCGACTCCATCTTTAGTTCAGTTTTAACTTTAAGCTCATGAACTAAATAAAAACCTAAAACTCATATGAAATCATGGGTCTGTCTTATATACAGCTTTAAATGTATCTCAGTTTAAGGAGGTAATATCAACATTGTCCTGCTTGGCCTTCTGAACTTCCTTCTTTTCTCTTATGTATTATTTATGTATATGTATTTGTGTGTTTCCTTGAAGCTCTTGGGTTTTGTTTTGTTTTTTTCCTCCTGTATCACTAGCTTCACTTAAATATAGTTGAGTAAAACAGATTGATACATTGGTTGAGTCTGAAACTGTCCCCCATTCTTCAGCTCTAGTCCATCACCCCTGTACCAAGAGGTGGAAAGCACAATTCATTTTCAGTCTTCTGGAGTTAGGATCAGTCGTTGAATTGATCAGTGTTCTTGTGTCTTTCAAAGTTGTTTTTCTTTTAGATTGTTGTATTCATTTGTATAAGTTCTGCCCCGTTCATGAAAATCTTTCTAGAATTCTTTGAATCCATTCCCTTTACAATGCAAAATATCTCTTAACATTCATATACCTAATTGTCCCAGTTGATGCAGCCACTTTTATTTCCAGTTCTTTGCTAGGCCGAGAAATGCTGCAATAAGCATTTATGTGTATATGGGTCCTTTCTCTTCCATTTTGACCTCTTTGAGCCTAGTAGTGGTACTCCTGGGTCAAAGGTTATTTAGAGTTTCATGACTTCTAGTGTAGTTACAAATTTGCTTTTCAGATGTTTGGACCAATTAGCCATTGGTGTACGTATCCTCCCACAGCCCCACCAACAATTGCTATTTTCTGTTTTTTGAGGTCTTTGCCAATCTGAAGGATGTGAGGTGGAACCTTGCTGTTTTTTAATTGTTTTTGTTGATGTCTTCTGATTCTTACATTATCATAGATATCCTTGGTATCCCCTCCCCCTCCCAGAGAGCCAGCCGATATAATAAATAGTATTTTAAAGGGGGTGGGGGGATCAACACAACTAAATTGGAAAAGTCTGAAAACTTGCACAACGTGTAACACCTGTAAACCTCCCACCTCTATGAAGGAATGGGTTGGGGTGTATCCTCTCATACCTCTTCAATTCGTGCTTTTAATCTTTGTAATTGTTATTTTCACATTTGATTTTTTTAATGTAGTTATTAATATTTATGTTATTGTAGTTATTGTATATATTTTCTTTGCTCTGCTTACTTCACTCTACATATGTTCACATAGATCTTTCTGTACTTCTCTGTTAATATCACTTCTTACCGCATAGTGATATTTCATTACATTCATGTATCACAGTTTATCCATTCTCCCAGTTGATGGGTATTCACTTCGTCTCCAATTCTTTGCTATCACAAAAAGTACTGCTATAAATATTTTGGTGTATATGGAGACTTTTTTTTTCTTATTGATGGCTTCCTTGAGGTATATAACCAGTAATGGAGTCTGTGTTTTAAAGAGTATGTACATTTTACTCACTTGCATGATTCCAAATTAAATGGCTATACTATTTCACTGCTCCACCAACAATACGTTAGTGTGCCTATCTATCCACAACTCCTCCAGCATTGACTATTGCCATTTTGGGGGTCATCTTTTCAGACTTTCAAGTTGTGAGGTTGTGAAGTCTAGAACTACACTAAAATTTGGAATGCACTATACTGAGAGCGTTGCATTTTTTTTTAATGATTTAGAGCATTCTTGCTTGTGGTTGTGAATATTTTGCAATTCTTCTTTTGAGAACTGTTTGTTCATAGCCTTTGACCACTTCATTTATCTATTGGGGAATGGTATTAGTTTTAAATATATTTATTAATAGCTCATATATCTTGGATACCAAACTCAAATCAGAGAAATTTGATACAAGGATTTCTTCCCGTGCTACCACTTCCCTTCTTATCCTTGATGCGTTAATGTTGGCTGTGCAGAACCTTTTCAGTTTCAAGTAATCAAAGTTATTTTATCTTTTGTAAAGAACCTTATGTTTATTAAATACCTGCTATATGTTAGGCACTGTAATAAACTTTACGTGCAGGTGTCCCACCTTAAGATTTAGAATTGCCTATAATAAATTGTTTTTGTGGCCCCATTTGGGGTCTTCTTGGCAAGGATACTGAAATGGTTTACCATTTCCTTCTCCAGCTTATTTTACAGATGTGGAAACTGAGGAAAACAGGGTTAAGTGACTTGCCCAGGATCTGAGTGTCTAAGGGTAGGTTTGAACTTGAGAAGATGAGTCTTCCTGACTTCAGGCCCAGCACTCTATCCATTGTGACACCAAGTTGTCACCTTCCCCCCTCCCCCAATATGGATTGGCCTTCCTAAATTTTCAGTGTGTAAATTTTAGAATATTATGGATGCCTAAAAAATACTGGCAAAAGAAATCATTCTTAATTTTTGCTCTAAGATGGAAGGATACCTTCCTGGGAGGAATACTTTATTTAGTGCCTTTCTGGAGACTTAGATTAAATGTATTGGGTGTGTGCCTTTGGGTCTTTCTGTTAGTTTACTGAGGTCTAAAGAAAAGGGCATTCATATTCAGCTCTTGGCCTCAGATGGCTTGTTTTACGTATGTGTAGAGCATTGTTCAGAAATTGTCCACCTGCTACCTGATACTGGAGGTACAATCTTTACCTGGAGGATGTAGGGAAGGGATGGCCCTTCTGAGGTCTCTTTTAGCCTATCTGGAGTGGGAAAGGATAAAATGGATCTGTTTATCACCTTTGGATTTCATTCATTCATTCCTTCATGTTTCCCCATGAACTCTACCCCACAGTCTGACTTTACCAGTTACATCCTTGCTTTAAGGGCAGTTTTCATGAGGAAGTTGCTACTACTGGTTGTACTCCATTTAGAAAACAAAAGCTAAGTGGTTCTGCCTTCCCAGATGGCTGCCTTCTATTGAATCTTCCTGTGTTTGTGACAAGGCAGGCTTTCCACTAAGTGAGTTGTTCCACTTAGCCAGTCAATAAATATTTAGTGAGCATCTGCTCTGGGACCAGCATTATGTTCTACCCTTGTGCATGAGATAACTGAGGCACCAGATGATGCCCCAAGACCAAAATAAGCACTCAACCATCCCCAAGTTTCTATTTGGTTGCTTTGCCACTGAGCCGATACATTCTACTTTGCATGAGATTAGTGTTCAGAGTGGTGTTTGGGTTTCAAGCAAGGTTCTCATGCTAGAAACTCCTGGTGTGAGCTTTCTTAAGTCCTTTCTTTTGAAAGAAGCAGGGTTATATGTTTGCAATAAAGCAGAAAAATAAGCTTATGTTTGAGTTGATATACTCAGAGATTTATAAAGACGCAGGGGAGGTGGGGGTGTTGCTGTCTTTTCTCATAAAATCAGGTGGCAAATTTGAATGTAAACGCACGGATCCATTTTTAGAAATGTCACAGGGTCGCTCTCTTCACATAAAATCAGGTGGTAGATTTGAATGGAAAATCGTGATTCCATTTTTAGAAATGTCACCTTGTCTGGGGGTATGTGTGTGTGTACACATACATGTGTGCATAAGGTGTCCCAAAGGCCTAGCTTAGAATTACACTATACTGAGAGCAGTGTATTCCTTTTTTCCTTCTCTCACCTATTCCCATGTAAATATCTCAACTTGAAATATCTGTTGAAGTTGAAATGAAAGTCTAACCCCTGTTTTTAAACTTCATTGTCCTATAAATCTAGGTCACTTAGAATTCATTGCTTTGATGCCTTTTTCTTCAAGGTCCTTTTTTCTCCTTTAAATTTCTGACAGTAAATGCATCAAGATAGAAGGCCACTCATAAAGCACTTGTCTCACCAAAAGAATGCCTCCTAAAGTAGTTCTTTTTTTCATTAAAGAGAATTAAAAATAAATTTTGTTTGAAAATTTTTGCTTGAGAAAACTAGACATTGAGTCTTGAAAATCACAAGATTTACTAGCCCTGCCACTGTGACTTTAGGCAAATCACTTATCTTCAGAGACCACAGGTTTCTTATCTCAGATGCCACTTTTTCTTCTAGCCCCACATGATGTCTCTTCCTGCTTTAAATATATCATTCAAATCTGTCTTCCCATTTTAGTGATGAAGAAACTTAAGTTTGGAAGATATGAATGGATTTGCTCTCCCTTACACATCTATTTAGTAGCAGAATTAAGTCCAGATCCTACATTTCATGGTATGGCCTTGCATCAGACTGACTTTCAGGGGTGGAGACCCTGCGGCCTAAGGCCACACGTGACCTTCTAGGTCCTCGGTTGCAGCCTTTTGATTGAGTCCAAGTTTTACAGAACAAATCCTTTTATTAAGAGGATTTGTTCTGTGAAGTTTGGACTCAGTTGTTCAGTCAAAGGGCCGCACTTGAAGACCTGGAGGGTCCTTAGGACTATTTTATGTATTTTCAAATATCATCCAAATTCTCCTGCTCAGTCTGGTTACTTCTCCAAATACAAATACTAATGCTGTTTATACTCAGCATTAGCATTTTTTTAGTGTTATATAAACCCATGCTTGGGAGCACATAATCTGAGTATGAGTGTGAAAGAGGAAAATATTTGAAAGAAGGTGAAGTGACAGAGAGTCCAAGCCAACTATGAGTGGACTATTCATATTTAGAATTTCAATTTTGGTGATCAGCAAGAGCTGACTTTTCATTCCTACTCCTAATTTTCAAATACTTCTTGCTCTTTATGAATGATTCTCATTTTCTAATGTCTCATTCTTTCCTGAGCTTTGATAGAAATTTGCTAAATATTTAGAAAATTAACTTAACTCTTTCTGACCAGCATATTTTCCTGCCTTGCTTACCATCTATTACTTCCATTATGAATTTTTAACTACAAAAAGCATGTGTAGACACCCCCCCCCACCCCCCTTTGGCTTCAGGACTATGAGGTAGACTCTTTGACTCCTTGCCTGAGAATCCTATCGTTTCTAACCCCATGGACCAGTTGTTAATGTTTATTTCCCAATAGACTACAAGTGAATTCTATTACATGTGACATGGCATACACTGGATCAGATCAGTATGGTGTAATGGAAAGGATGCTGGCATCAGAAGATCTGGGTTCAAATCCCAGGTCTGCCAATTTACTGCTTGGGTGACTTTGGTTTCTTACCTCTAAAATGGTGGAGTGGGAATCTGTGGCCTTCTAGATCCTTAAGTTCGGCCTTTTAACTTTTGTTCTGTAAAACTTGGATTCCATCAAAAGGTTTAAGGATCTAGAAGGCCACAGGTTCCCCACCCCTGGACTTAGACAACCTGTCAGTTCCCCTTCAACCCTGCATCTATGATTCCTGTGTCTCCACATATAACTACATGGGTCAAAGCCTGAGTTAACATGATTGGTCTCTAAAATGGTATCTTCCTCTCTTCTCTAGTACCAGCATTATAAAGCAGTAGATTGTTATTCACATTGAATAATGTGAGGGAAGTGGTCAGCTTCCAGATTAGTCTCAGGAAGTAAAATTCTCATTTGGGGTTCTAAGAACTTTTCGTTCACTTTCCAGCTTCCACGAGGGGAAAGTAGAATATAAAAGTGGTTGTTCCCGTTTGAATAATGGAAGTACAGAATATCTACTGTGTTGTTTAGCTCCTTGAGATTGCTCGGAAGCTCCCCATTCAGTGCAGAATTGGGATCCATAGACCCCCAAGGAGTCTGTGGATAGGTTTCAGAGTTAATGAACTTGGATAGGGGGAAAAATTACATTTATCTGAATATATTTAATTTCTTTTATAATCTTACGCATTCTGTTCTGCTGTAACGTGATGGATAAATTCTTTAAAATTGCACAATAAAAACCTTGGGTTTATGGGGGAAATGGAATTAGGAACACAATACTCAAAAATGTCAGTGATACGTTTAAAAAAAAGATAACCTAATAAAAATGGTAGCACAGTTTTATACGTGTCAAATAGTTAAGAAATACATAAATAATAAAATAGTGATATCTCCAGTCTTGGCAAAGTAAGAGTTACTGAAACTCCCAGAAGGTGGGGTGCCATGCAGGAGGCTAAGAAGGTTTGTGGAAGCAGATGTCGGAAAGATTGAATCTTGTGAGTTACTGTGAAGTGGTGCAATTTTCTGTCTTTTCACCCATGGAATCTCACACAGGCAAATACAGAATCTATGGTATACTCAGATTGCTCCTTCATTTATCATCTGGGTATATTTGGAACAAATCTACACATTAAAAACAAGTGTTACAGCAGAATTGACTGAGTTTTACTTTATACCTTTAAAAAAAAGGTTCTAAGAAGGGGTTCATAGGCTTTGCTATACTGCTGTAGGGGTCCATGACACAAAAAGAGGGTGAGAACCCTTGATCTAGACATTATGTGAAATCCATACCCATGTTAACCATTCATCTGTAATTCTGCTTTCTTCTCAGTCACCCATGTTTGACGGGAAGGTCCCAAACTGGCATCACTATGCATGCTTCTGGAAGCGTGGGCTCGTCATCTCTCAGGCTGAGCTTGAAGTAGATGGGTTCTTGGAGCTGCGATGGGATGACCAGCAGAAAATTAAGAAGACCATCGAAGCTGGAGGGCTGACGGGAGGTCTGTGGAGCTGATAATGTTGTGTATTGACACTCTAGGGCAGTGTTCCTTGGGTACCCCCACCATTGGCCTTAAATTTTTTGTGTCAAAGAGAAAGTGGAGCAGCTAGAACCAGAAAGACAGGAGCATCAAAAGCAGGTTGATCGTTAAGTGCCAACTTGGGGTGAGCTGTACTGCAAAAGTAAAATGACATCTGCCCCCCAGGAACTTGGATTGTATCAGTGGGAGGCATCGTGTATAATACAAGGTCATTTGAGAAGAGAACTAACACCTGGGGGAGGAGGGAGATTCAGGGAAGCTGGGGCCTCTGAGCCTTAGAGGTAAGGAAGGTAATGCATGGGAACAGCCTATGGAAAACCACAGTGACACAAGATGACAGGTTGTTATGGTAAGGTAACAGCTCATAAGCTAGAGTGTAGAAAGGGGAGGAATATGAAATATTTGGAAGGCAGGGAGTGGATAGATTTTAGAGGGCCTAAAATGCCAGATGGAGTAGTTTGGATTGGGTCCTAAAAGCAGTAGGGAGCTATTGAAGATTTTTGAGCAGGGGAGTGACCTGTCCATCAAGACTGGAAAGCAAACAGCAGGTCCATATAGGTGAGTGTGTGTGGTTTGTCCTCATCAAAGACTTGAGATTTTTACTAGGGACTCGAGACTCCTCATTCATTAATAATCCATGTAAGAAAAGAAGTGGGCGGGATGCTGAAAGATACTCAGTGAGGGTGTCTGCAGTGGGACATGCTAACTTGGGGAATGTGTGAGATCTTAGATGCTGTCCCCTTGTATTCTTGGTGCATGACCAACAGAGCTTCAAGGGAGATCACAGCGTGCCACATGGGGTTCTTCTTTATCACTCCTGTCCAAAGCAGACACAGTGTAAATTGGTGGTAGTGGTGTTACAGAGCCCGTCATTGTGGGGGAATGAACTGTCCCGTGTAAGTGAATTCCTCCCTCACTTACCAAATGAAATTTATAGCTCTTTAAGTGCCAAAACTTTTTTTTAAAAAATTTTTAACTGATTTTCAAAGAAGTCTTTCTAAAATGGCTTACCCATTCTCTTCCCTTTATTAAACTAAAGATACTGAACGTAATTGGCCTTGTCTTGAAGACTTAAGGTCCTCCCTGTGAATGTTTGTGATGGTATGTGCAGACTGTGATCTGGGCAGCAGCAGCATCCAGGGAGCCTGATGATATGCATTGGACACTCAGCATCTCAGCTAATTAGTTTCAAATCACTTTTGCCTTCTTGGGTCTGACTTTTACAGATTTTCTTCTTTTTCCTTCTGTGCTCTCAGGTAGGACTTTTTTTTTTAACTTTGAATTATATCTTTTATTTTCAATTATTAAGCTTCTACTTTTTTCTCCCCCTCTATCAGCTCTGTCGGGATTCTTCACCATTGGTCATGGGGAGTCATTGGTTGATCAGTGCATTGATCAGAGTTCTTACATCTTTCAAAAGTGTTTGTTTCTACAGTATTATTATAGTATAAATTGTTCTCTTCTGTTCACTTTACTCTGCATCAGTTCAGGCATGTCCTTGAAGGTTACTCTGATACCAAGTCTTTCATCATTTCTTGCACCACACCATTACATTTATATGGCACTTTAAGGTTTACAAAGCATTTTATAAATATTACCTCATTTTATCCTCACAACAATCCTGGGAATCAGGGGCTTTTGTTATCCCCATTTTACAGGTGAGGCAACTGAGGCATAAAATGGTTAAGGGACTTGCCCAGGGTCACACAGCTACAAAGGATCTGAGACAGGATTGACTCCTGTCTTACTGACTCCTAAGTCAAATACTCCATAATTTTTTAGCCATTTCCAAATTTATGGACACTTCACCCTCCACTCCAGATTACTAGTCTTTTTTTTTTCCTCCCTCCAGTTGCTAGTTCTTTTGACTCAATAAGAAGAACTGCCATAAATATTTTTGTACATAAGCGTCCTTTTCCTCTTGGATCCAGGCCTAGTCATGGTAGCACTGGGTCAAAAGGAATGCAGTGCCCAGCAACTTTTTGGTCAGGAAGAACTTCTTGTAGTTGTCCATGTGTCTCATATCCCTACCCACTTTTCTAATTCTACTTATTCTGGGAGCTTCTCATACCTTAAACACAGCTAGTAAGTCTCTAGGGCAGGATTGGAACTTGGGTTTTCCTAAGTGCAAATCCAGCATTCTCTCCCCCTGGAGAAGCCACAAAGCTAAGATGGGCATTGTTCTGTGTTTCTTGCCTAGGCAAAGGCGGGAGTCAAGACGGAGGTGGAAAGGGAGAGAAAACCCTAATCAACTTTGCAGTTGAGTACGCCAAATCCAATAGGAGCGCTTGCAAAGGGTGTCAGCAGAAAATAGAAAAGGTAAGAGCGTTGGCAGCCAGGTGGCAAGGGGGGCTGTAGTATGGCCTCAGTGGACCATGAAGCCCTCCCCAGTTAGCACAGCGGGCCCTCCCTCGTACAGTCATTGAGAGGGTCAAATGAGACAAGGTTTATGTAAAGTGTCTTGTAAAACCTAAAATGCTCTATAAATGTCAGTTATTATCCCCATTTTACAGATAAAGAAACAGGCTCAGAAAAACCAACAGCCAGTAAGTACCTGATGTGGGACTTTAACTCGGGTCCTCTAACTCCAAGTTCGGTGCCTTTCCCAGTACTTGGAAATCGAGACTTTATTAATCTAGATTAGTGTGGAGGCTGGGCGGTCAGAGATTGAAACTGGTTGGGTGGATTCAGGCTTTGTTTCAGGATGGTGTGCATCCCAATCTGGTCCAGTGACGGTGCACTCAGCTTTAGAAGAGCCGGCCAGATGCAGAGCAGATGGCACAGGGTCCAGTGGGGAGGTAGCAGGCCTTCCCTGATGGTGGTGCAACTAAGGCGATGAGATCCTGTCTTCAGTCTGAGTCTCATCATAAATCTAGGGGAGAAGCTGTCTGTGGAGAGGAACTGATGGCATTTTATGCCAGGGGCCTAGTTCAAACTCTTTCTCTGCTGCTTAGCACTGGTGTGCTTTGGGGCAAGTCACTTAATGTCTTAATTTCACCCATGAAAAATAAGAAATGATTAAGGTTTGTTTTCAGCTCTCCTCCAACCACCAGGAACTCACTGAGTATAAAATGTAATGTCTCTCTTAGGATCTGGGGGGAGTGGGGGTTGGAATGCAAAGGCAGCCAGGTGGCTCAGTGGGTAGAGCTCCTGACCTGGGGTCAGAAAGACCTGAATTCAAATGCCACCTCAGGCCCTTATCAGCAGTTTTGACTGAACAAGTCACTTCACCTTGGTCGGCCTCAAGAGGATCAAATTAATTGTAGAAAAAGTGCCTTGCAAACCTTGCAAAACAGAGTGCTAGATCAATGTGAGCTATCACTGTTCACTTTGCTGAGCCACGGTTTCCTCATCTCTAAAATGGGGGGTGCACTACTTAGACCTACTAAGTCTTTTATGGGGAAAGTGCATCATAAGTATAGAATGCGTACAAGTGTGAACTTTGGCTACCTTCTAGGGCAGGCCTCTGGTCCTCTACTCTGTTCTAGGGTCTTTTCTCTCAGAGCAAAGACATTTCACTTGTTAAAATACATTTCACATGTTCTTGTGATCAAGAAAAGAATCAGGTGTTAAACACTTTTGTTCCCATTTCCAAATGCCTACCACTCCATCTACTTGGCTCTCAATAATAACTGTCTCTAACAGAATGAGAAGGAGCTCTGTCGGTCACCTGGGCTTCTCTATGCAGGCACAAGGAGATGACTGAAACTTCTGGAGATGGTCTCACCCTCCTCCCCATCACAGAAATGCCTTCTATCCCATCCCATTTAAAGAAGAAAAAACCTTGTAATGCAAACAAATTCCCTCATTTTTCATGTCGAGGCTTGTATGTCTCATTCTGCATCTTGAGTCCTTCACCTCTGGCAGGAGATGGGTGGCATTCTTCATCGTCATTCCTTTGAAATCATAGTGGTTCCTGTAAGGATGTTGAGACTTTCTATGTCTTGAGACATCTATGAAGCATTTCGATAAACCCGAAAATGTATGTAAATGTTAAGTGTTCATCATTATTCTGAAATTAAATACTCTCTGAGAATTGAAGTGCTCTGGGTCCCAGGACTAGCTACAGTGAACCCTAGTGTGTTAATCCTGGGACCTATGGAAATAGCAGTTGGCCTCTCAGAGTAGTTGTGAGACTGAAATTGCTTTTTGGGGGGGGGGGGTGTTTGTTTTGTTTTACTAGGCAGTGGAGTTAAGTGATTTGCCCAGGGTTGCACAGCTAGTAAGTGTCAAGTGCCTGAGGTTCAAATTTGAAGTCGGGTCCTCCTGACTCCAGGGCCAATGCTGTATCCACTGTGCATCTAGTTGCCCTTTTTTTATGAGACTCAAATTGAATAAAAGCACTTTATCAGCTTTGAGATCTGGATAAATGTTAGTTATTAGCATTCAACCCAGAGGTGGCCCTGGTGAAATAGACAGATAGCTGGCTTCCGTGAGGTTTCACCTGGGTTCAATTGCTGCCTCTGAGAGACACGTACTCATTGTATGACCCTGAGATTTTTACTTATTTTGTTAAACATTTCCTAATTACATTTTAATATAGTAATTATTACTATATTAATATTAGTGTATATATGAATATACACTAATATAATAGTATAATATAATAATATATTAATATTAGTAATGTTAAAATATTACATTTAATATAGTTAATATAGCATCCTGGATGGTTTTGCAGCTGCAAGCAAGTTTGACCTCTCTGGTTTAGATGACATCCAAGGCCCTTTGCCGGCTCTGAACCGGAATCTTAAGTCAATTTATCCCAAGAGTTATTAGGGAAGGAATGAGATTCATCGAATATCTCCCACTTCTGGTTTTCCTTCACAGGGTCAGGTACGGTTGTCCAAGAAAATGATTGATCCAGAGAAGCCACAGCTGGGGATGATTGACCGGTGGTACCACCCGGATTGCTTCGTCAAATGCCGAGATGAACTGGGATTCCTGCCTCAGTACAGTGCTAGCCAGTTCAAAGGATTCAGTATCCTGCAGCCAGAAGACAAAGAAACCCTCAAGAAACAGCTCCCAGCGGTCAAGACTGAGGGGTGGGTGAGGGAAGGGCACTGGAGAGCTGTAGTCATTACAACAGCTCTGTGCTGTGGAGTGTAGATGGAGGCCTGAGTTGGTGAGGCCTGGCTTTAAAGTCCAGAAAGTCAGGAGCAGAGCCAGAGGAGAATGAAGTCATGCAAAGCATAATGTGAAGAGTATTCCTTCTTCCTTTTTTTCCCATCTTGTATAGTAAGTGCACTTTAAATGTACTTCAGGAGCTTTTAACAAGCATCCGATCAATCCACAAACATTTAATTGGGTGATTCCTATGTGTTAGGCCCACTGCTAGGCCTGACATAGGCCCAAGAGACAGGAGGGGTTGTGTCATGTGTGAGGAACGGCAAAAGAGCCAGTTTGGCTGGACCCCAGTAGACATAATGAGAGGTGTGATAGCTGATAAAACTGGAAAGGTAGGATGAGGCTACCTTATGAAGGACTTTAAATGCCAAACAGACGAATTTATGTTCAATCCCAGAGGCAGTGGTAGCCACTGGGGTTTATTGAGCCCAGTGCACGTTGTGGCTGTGTGGAGGGTGGAATTGGTGCGGAGAGAGAATCAAGGTAGGGAGACCCATTGCGGGGTTGTTGGAGTAGTCCAGGCAAGAGCTGATGAGGGCTTGAATTTGGGGTAGTGGTCATGTAAGTAGGGAGAAGAGGGCTCACAAAAGAGATGTCCTGGAGAGAGAAATGTCAAGATGGGGCCTTAATTGAATATATAGATGAGGGGGAGTAAGTACTTGAAAATGATCCTGAAGTTATTCACTTGGGTAACTGGAAGGATGATAATACCCCTACAGAAATAAGGAGGTTCAGAAGAAATAGGTTTTTGCAAAACCATGCACTTCATTCACTAAACATTTTTTTTGAGTACCTCCTATGTAAGGGATTGTGCAAGCCAGCCACTTGTGCTACAGGTAGAGATACCCAGTCACAGATCCTGCTTTCAAGAAGCTTGATCCGTAATAGGGAGAGAAGACACAGGCACAAATAACTGAAACAAAGAAGGATAGAACACGTACTTAACTGACGTACTGTCCAGTGAGCTTACTGGAAAGAAGTCTAAACTGGTAAGAGTGGCAATGGTTTCCTTGCCAGGACAAAGAAGACTCCTGGCTGTGCTCTAGCATTGTGCTAGGACTATATTATAATAGATTATCTCTGTCCATGTTTCCACCTACTGAATTCAACAGGGTGGGGGAAAGTGTACCCCAGACTGGGAGACAAAACCTGGATTCTGGCCTCTGCTTTACCACTAACCAGCCATCATTCTCCCTTCTCCCGTTTCCACAAATGTCATAAGAAAAGGGAGCTTCTGTCTGCCTTCAGGGGGTGATGGATTTAAAGGGCAAAACTGACTTTCTTAATCTATGCAGAGCATAACCATAGAATGAAATTTGTGTAACATAAAATCAGACACGGAACAGCATAAATCCTCCAGGCATCACCACTTCTTTACAAAGGAGCCTCGGTGTGTAGAAGTTTTTTAACATGTTTGTAATACGGCATAAATGTGGAATTGATGTGATTTCGGCCTCTGCGGCTCCTGATTATGCTGTTGGTGTCGCTGATGTCCCTTAGGAATAGATGATAAAGTCATGCTGGTGTGATTTCCATCCCTCACTTTCTTTCTATGTTTTACACATAGATGTAGACCTGGAAGGAACCTTAGAGATCCTTTTCTCCCACCCTCCCTATTTTGTGGATGAGGCATCCGAAGCAAAAAGATGAGAAATAGTCGGCTGGCTGCCTGGCACTCAGTGCTCTTTCTTGGTCATCAACTTCTTAGTAGCTTCATTTTACTCACCATGCATGATACCCCTGATACAGGACTGCATTCTTGTGTCTGGGTGTTCTGTGGCTTGAGCTTCCTGTTTTCTCTATTGCTTTATGCAAATTCTGGCTTTCTCCTCTGGGCATCTGAGAATACTAAAAGAAAATGTATCTATATTTTAATTTAGAAGTTGGTCTTGGCAAGGAAGGATGGTATTAAACATAGCAAACATTTATATAGGACTTCATTACACATGGTTTGAATCCTCGCAACAGCCTTTTAGAGAAGTACTACAAGTGTTATTCCCCTTTTTTGTAAGGAAACTAGGGCTGAGAGGTTAAGTGATATGCCCCTGTCTGTTGCCTGACGGGAGACTTGAACTCAGGTCTTTCAAACTCCAGTACACTCTTCACTAACTAAAAACCACCCCCACACCCCTAGTAGAAACCAAAAATTGCCCAGATGTCATGTGGAACAAGTTACGGGCCACTGCAATCGTGTGAGTTGGCATTTGATGTTCTGTTTTTGGCTTTTCCTCCCATGGGCCTGTATCCCTTTCAGAAAGGAAAGGGAATGCTGTGGTTTGGGGGAGGTCCTCCTCTCATGTGCTCATGTCTCTTTCAGGAAGAGGAAAGGAGACGAGGTAGATGGAGATGATGTAGCCAAGAAGAAGGCCAAGAAAGAAAAGGACAAAGAGACGAAGCAGGAGAAACTCTTCAAGGTTAGCGCGTTTTATTTAATCCATGGCTCCTTCCTTTCCTCTCCCCAAAGTGTAAGTGGCAGTTTTCAATCTGATCCTCCTCTTTTTAAGAAAGCCTTCCCAGGAGAAGCAAAGCCCCTTTCCTTAACCTAGACCTGTCCCACTAGTGAGCCAGACACACTTCTGCTGTGGGCATGTGTCTGTTAAGAACAAGACTTGGAGAAGGGGTGCTTCTCAACAGGCATGGAGTGGTTCCATGTCTTCCACAGTCTGGCTTGTGTCTGTCTGCCTGTCCACCCACATGGGAGGTGAGCTTCACGTAAGGGCCTCTCAAAGGGAGACGTTTGAGGAGGTAGACAAATTGGGAGCTGCAAAAGAAGGCTAATCATTGTTATTGACCAGAACCAGCCTCCCCGGTTGTGTTTTTAATTCTCTGTCTGTCGAACCATGTAGCGTCAGTAGCTTTTTGGATAATGGTGATTTCATCTGTGTCCCCAGGGTTACACAGCTGGGTACCACTGATTTATAGGAATCACAATTTCGAGGCTGTCTTGGAGCAATATTTACATTTTCTTATAGAAAATTCTCAGAATTGGGAGGGTTAAGTGAGGTTTGAGTAGAAACTAGTAAGATAGACAAGCTTCTTAGGGACCTAAGGTGGCTTCATGGGCATACTGTTGGGGAAGTTGAGAGGGAAGTAGGAAAGCCTTCTTATAATAATAACAATTTATATTTTTATAATGTGCCAAACTTCTCAAAGCTCTGCTTGTAGAATGGGATGGAGAAATATTTAAGTCTTACTGTTTTCTAAGGACTGAAAATGCAAATAGTAAATTTAGCAAGACAGCCCCTGTTCTCAAGGAGCTCACAATCTACTTGGGGAAGAGATAACCCATAGGAGAGTTTAGCTGTAGGTCAGATGAAAAGGCCCAAGGAGGTCCTTAGGGTACATACTAATTATTATCCCCATTTTGAGTAATGTCCTCAAACAGGGCAAGTCAGAAACTAGAACCCAAGGTGCCTGACTCCCAGGTCTGCCCAATATTTCATTAGACCAGATGTTCAAATATTTCAGCATAACAGGGGCACTCTATCCCTATGGATTAATATTGGGACCAATCTTAACATTTTTTTTTTTGTCAGCAGCCCAAGAGAGCACGTGCATTAAAATTCACAAATTTGTAATTGTTTAGTAAAAGTTATCTTAATGGGGATAGAGTGATGAGAGTTTTTACAAGTTTTGTGGGTAGACAAAAATAAGAAGATGTATTTTTAATACTAACAGGTAATTTAGCTTTGGTTTGCATCAGCAATCCTTAAACCATAGCCCTCTAGCTACATGTAACTTTTTCATATATAGAAGCAACTGGGTGGCACAGTGGATAGAGGACTGGGCTGGAGAAAGGAAGACCTGAGTTGGAATCCAGCCTCAGACATTTTCTAGCTATGTGACCCTGGACAAGTCACCTAACTTCTCTACCTCAGTTTCCTCAACCATAAAATACCTCTGCTTTCTAATATGCTTTCTGTATGCTTTCAATATATAGATGGCCCTGCTTCACAAAAGACATAATGGAGCTTTAGTCAAAATAATCACTGATAAGAAAGGATGGGATCTTAATGAGAATCCATGGAGGGTGGTTGAGTTAGAGTTTTTTTGAGGGATGGGGAGAGCAATGCTTAGAAAGATGTATGTCCCTTTTACAAGACTATAGCTTTCAGAATAAGTCCTAATCTGTACCAACAAAGTCAGGGGTTCTGGGCCTTCTGCCCCTCACCCCCAATTAGCAGCTGAAGCCTAAATAGGAGTGTGACCCCAAGACTAGAAATTGGCCTGGTGATTTGCCTACGTTCTAGAAGGGAAATCATTGAACAGGACCCACGACTAGTCCTTCAGGGATAGCAAGAATCAGGTATCCTTTGAGCTACCTTCTCTACTACAGGTACAGACAGAGCTCATCTGGAACATCAAAGATGAACTGAAGAAAGTCTGCTCTACGAATGATCTCAAAGAGCTGCTGATAGCCAACAAGCAGGAAGTGCCTTCTGGGGACTCTGCGGTGAGTAGACACCTTGTGGGTGGGTGGGTTTTACATTTGAGACCAGGTGTCCTTTATCTCACCCAAGCTCAAGGTGCAGCCATTCTTCACCAGCCCAAGCCTAATACTGATTGGCGTGGCAGCTAATTTAACTGCTCTGGTTCTGTTCCCTTCCGTATATAGCCTGGTGGGCTCACCCCCACCCCTCCTGGGGGCTCTTGGTACTGACACCCGATGAGCCACAGGTCTGCTGCAACTCAGAACCCCCAAGCTCAGTCATCTATCAGCCTCAGCCTCCCCAGTAATAAGTTGCCCCATGTCCCTCTGGTCCCCTCCTGAGTTGTAGTCACTTTAAGCATTTATTGAGTCCAGGCACTCCACTAGGGATCAAAACATAAAATGAAACTCCCTGCTCTTATTCTACCTTTGGTGATATCCATGTATTGACATCTGGCTTTGAATTGGATTGTTCTTTTATTTTATTGATTTTCTGGGGGGGGTAATGTGTGGTGGCTGCTGCCGACTATACCAGTGGTGTGTGATACAGAAAGGGATCCCCCCTGCATATTGACCTAGAAAACCATAAATTAACATTATCTGTGTTGTGTTATGTCTCTGTTTTGTTGAGTATTTCCCAGTTACATTTTCATCTGGTTTGGGAGCACTGGGTAGTGTTCCTGGGTGGCTAGGTTTGACACCCCAATCTGGACCACCTCGGTGGGTATTTGTTTTATCCCTCTGCACACCATCATTTTTAGCCAAGGAATGGAGCCTTGGTGTTGTCCTGGACTCTTCACATCTCCTCCCTTATCAGATGCTGCCATTTTACCTCCAATATTTTACACTCTTCCCCAGCACTTTACTCACATTCCCACCCTGTTTAAGTCCTTAATCACTTCTCACTGGAGAGCCTCCTAATTGGCTTCCCTATCTCACGTACCTCCCCTCTCCAGTCATCCTTTGTCATACTGCTGTCAGTGGGATTTCTCCTGAAATACAGGTGATTTCCTCTTCAATAAATTCCAATGGCTTCTTGTTGCCTCTGGACTCCAATATAGACTGAACTGGGGCTCAGTCACTAAAGCCTTTCAGAATGTAGCCCCAGTCTACCTTTCCAACTTTATTTTACATTACTCTCTCTCTTACACTGCTGTCCATGCAAACTCTCCATCTTGCTGTCCTTAAACCAGACGTTCCCATCTCCTAAACCCATGCCTTTTCACTAGCCCTCTCTTCATGCCCAGAATGCACTCCCACTTCAGCTGCACTGCTTGGGAAGGATCCCATGTTTACTTTAAAATTCATTTCAAGCTTCATTTTCTACATGACACCTTTCCTGGTTCCCCCAGCTGTTAGTGCCCTTACTTCTAAAAAATTTTCATTGTATATATTTGTGTATATACTGTCTCCCCAATAGGACGTAAGCTCCTTGAGGGCAGAAACTGTTTCATTTTTGTCTTCTATCCCTAATGCTTAGCACAGTGCCTAAAATAGGTGCTTAATAAATGCATATTAATTATCCAAATCTTTCCAACTCACAGTAGACTGGTGAGTTTTTCTCTCTTCTCAACCTTCTCCATAGTTCTCTGACTATTGGGTGTGTTTGTTCCTTTTCTCACTAAAGATACTAGACAGAGTAGCCGATGGGATGGCTTTTGGAGCTCTTCTCCCCTGTGAGGAGTGCAAAAAAGGACAGTTTGTCTTCAAGAGTGATGCATACTACTGCACTGGAGACATCACTGCCTGGACCAAGTGTGTTGCCAAGACACAGACTCCCAGCCGGCAGGAGTGGATCATCCCCAAAGTAAGTGGGCAGGCTCAGCATTTGAGGGCCAGGCAAGAGAGGACTCATGGGCTTGCTCCTCAGCCCCCTGCTACTGAGGCCACTGCACAGCAGATCCAGGATCTTCTCTATGAGCGAGAGCATGGTTACCTTTTGAAAAAGAAAAAAAAATTGATCATCTTTTTTTTACATCACCTTTATTTCCCAAATTATCCTTCCCCCTCCATCACCCAGAATAAATCACAAAGAGGGAACAAAGCAATTCGGCAAAACTAACCACATATCAACCACATCTGACAGCATCCGGAGCGCCCCAGAAGTCTTAGTGTCACTTTAAGCTTTAATAGTCTCCTGTCTCTTCAGAGAGGGGAAGAATTTGTCTTTGCATCTCCCTTTTCAGGAGCCAAGCTTGAGCTGCAGTTTTTCAATCTTAAACAGTTAGCTATTTTCTAAACTTACTTGAATCTCAGGCCTGTGTTTGTATATATGAAACATTGTGTGTTTGCCTCCCAGACCTTTCTTTGAGAATAGTTAATTGCCTTTTGTTGTTCAGTCATGTCCAGCTCTTCATGATTCCATGGACCAACTGTCCATGGGGTTTTCTTGGCACAGGTACTAGAATGGTATGCCATTTCCTTCTCCAGTTCTTATACAGGCATGGTTTGAGTGACTTACCCGGGTCATATTTGAACTCTAGTCTTTCTGACTCCAGGTTCAGTGCTCTTATCCACTGTGCCACCTAGCTGCCTCCATTTAACTACCTAGTTTTATTTATGGTGTAGGCCAAACTACAGTGATCAAAAAGTTTTTTTAAAAAAGCTTTCTTTTTTAATGTAGTAGAACTATTAGAAAATTATTACTTAATTCCTGGGGATAAAGGTTGAATAAGTTTGGAAACTGCCCGTTTTTTTTTCCTTTTTATTTTGTTTCTCAGTTAACAAGCATTTATTTTCTTTTCCTCACATCTTCCACTCTTAATGGGAAGGGGAGGGGAACCAAGAAAAACAAAACCCTACTAACAAATATGCATAGTCAAGCAGAACAGATTGCCGCATTGGCTGTATGCCTGTCTCATTCTGCATCTTGAATCCGTCCATCTCTGTTTGAAAGTCAGTAGAGTTCATCAGTCTTCTGTAGCAAAGAAAAAATATTAATGCTCTACTCTGCATTTATGGCTTCAAATGTACCAGAAAGAAATTTTAAATCACTATCCACGCATTTCTATCTTGAAGAGAGAGATAGCCAAATTGGCATAGTTCCCCTACTCTTCCCCTATGCCCTCCACTGTGACTCTCTGCCTCAACACAATTTTAGGTAACAATTACAGGCATCTTGAACCAGGAAAATATTAAACTACATGAAAATGCAGTTTGGGTTAATTAACATTGCAGAATTGTCCTGAGAAGGATTTGTGGTACAGCAATAGAGAGACTCTTTCCTGAATTGGAGCTGCAGGGGTGCTTCCATTTCCTTGGAATAGAGGACATTTGATTGGATCCTTTCTGGGTAGAGAAGGAAGTGGTGTAAATAAGACCAGAGTTATTCTTTGTGCAAAGGTTGGTTACCACCTTTAACCATTTCCCTTAAGAAAAAAATTTTTGACTTTGACTGCCAATCACACCTGCCTTTCCTGGCCTTTTCCCTAGAGACTGGAAAGGGCTTTAGGAAAAAAAATGTTATTTCTTAATACTTACGGTTTTAACAAAATGGAGGTTTTAAACATGCTTCTATATCTGGCATCAGGGTTGGTCATTGTATTGGTCCGAGTTCTTGTTTGTATTTACAGTGTTGTCAAATATAAGTTATTCAGGTTTTATTCACTTCGCTCTGCATCAGTTCATACAAGTCATCGTTTCTTAGGGCACGATACTATTCTGTTATATTCCCATATCATAATTTTTTCAGCTATTCCTCAGTAGATGGGCACCCCCTTTGTTTCTATTGCTTTCCCCTCACAAAAAAAGAGCTGCTATAAATATTTATGCGTACTTGGGTCCTTTTCTTCTTTCTGCTATTTAGTGACTTTGTGGGGCATGGTTCCAAATTGTTTTGCAGAATGACTGGAACAATTCACAGCTCTGCCAACACTGCATTAATGTGCTTGTTTTCCTGCAACCTCTTCAGCATTTGTCATGGAAACTAACAGTTGGAAATATGGCAGTAACTTGGGTGAAGACATGAGATACTGCCTTGCTCACATGACACACAGATGAAAGGAATAGCTAATGCTTAGCACAGTGTCTGGCATATAGTAGTAGGCTCTTAATACATATTTATTGAATTATTGCCCAGGATGACTAAATCAAAATTCAGAAAGGAAATTATGAAACTTAAGGGTCAGTATAAAGTTGCATTTGAGTTTTAAAATAACTGTACAAGTGTAGGAATGGAGAGACATACCTTAATAATTTATACCAAGAAAACTCGGGGGTTAATGAGCTCACTATGAATCAACAAGGCCTTGATGAGTAGAAAGCAAACTTAAAATCTGCATTGAGAATAATAATTCTTTTAACATTTGTAAAATGCTTCACAAAATGTTATTTCATCCTATCTGCGCAGCAACCCCATGAAAGAGGTACTGCAGGCATTATTATCTCTATTTTAGTTTAGTTGAAGGGACTTTTCTATGGCTGCCTCTGTCAGTCTACATTGATAGAGAGAATTTCATCTCTGGAAATTCCCCTACATGGCTGTGAAGCAACAACAAAAAATCAAGTTTCCAAAATCCTTCACTGAAGTAGACCAGTGACTCATTGATACAGAGATATGACCCTGGGCTCCCAAAATAGAGCATGAGTTCTGGCAAGGCCTACCACACTGAAAAGGCTTCAGTGTTAAGATGCATCTCACCTGAGAAGCAGCAAGATTCCTCACCAGAAGGTGTTCTTTTTTTGTTGTTGTTTTGGTTTGGTTTGTTTTTTGTTTTTGTTTGTTTGTTTTTTGGGTTTTTTTGGTAAGGCAATTGGGGTGAAGTGACTTGCCCAGGGTCACACAGCTAGTAAGTGTCAAGTGTCTGGTCTGAGACCAGATTTGAACTCAGGTCCTCCTGACTGCAGTGCCAGTGTTCTATCCACTATGCCACCTAGCTGCCCCTCTCACCACAAGGTTGATGAATGTTTGGCCACCACAATTTACAAAAGCTAATTTAAGGTGCAGAGAGGTTGTGACCTGCTTTGGTGGAGAGGACACATGCAATGATAAGTTACAGAGCTTTATAATGTGTAAGTGTGATAAGTGCTTGGGCAGATAGATGGCACAGTGGATAGAGGAGCCTGGAGTCAGTCAGGAAGACCCCAGTTCAAAGCCAGCCTTTGACACTAACTCTGTGACCCTGGGCGAGTCATTTAACCTTATTTACTTCCATTTCCTCATTTATAAAAAATGATCTGGAAAAGGAAATGGCAAACCACTCCAGTATCTGCCAAGAAAACCCCAAATGGGGTCATGAAGAGTCAGACATGACTGAAATGACTAGACAACAACAAAAAATAAGTGCTTAGAACAAAGGAAGGCAACATCACTCCCCCATACTCTAGAGTTGGTCAGACCATGTTGTATTGATTTCTGGACACCAGGTTTTAAGACATAAATTGAAAAGTCACCTAGGTGGTGATCTCCAAACATGTTAGGTGACCAAAGCCAGGACTCGGTGATAACTACCTAGGGTACCAAGGGTCACCGGAAAGTGTCAGGTGCAAGATTTGAACTCAGGTTCTGTGACTCTACAGCCCTTTGTATGATGCTGCCTCCTGTCACTGTTCTGTATAATTGACTAGGGTTTTTCTAAGCAAAGACCTTTTTTTTTTTAAATATAAAGACTATAGTAATGATTTAGTGAAATAAGTCTGTTCCATCATGTTTTGCTATACATTGTTACCCTCCAAGACAAAAGCCCACATAGAAAAGATTTTCAGACATCAACAATAGCTAAATGTTTCTAGGGTTTTCGGGGTGGTGCCTTGCTTCTGACTTCCTTAAACTTCTGTTCCATAGGAGTTCCGGGAAATCTCTTACCTCAAAAAATTTAAGTGCAAAAAGCAGGACCGAGTGTTCCCCCCCGAAACTCATGCCCCTGTTTCAAAACCACTCCCCTCATCAGTGGCAACCCCTCCCACCGTGAACTCCCCATCCTCTCCAGGTAAGTGGCCAGGGATCTAGGACGGCCCTCTTGAGGCAAGTCTTTTTTTTTTGTTTGTTTTTGTTTTTCATTTGCAGCAGCTGGAAGAGGGCTGAGGGGGAGGCTGTATATAAGGTTTGTGTTGGCCCAAAGCAGGGGGCCTTATCACCTTTGACTTAGTTAATGAGGAACCTTGTTCTTCTGGGACCTCTCTGCTTCTCTTGCTTCTCGGGATATGACAAGGCTAATTCCCTTTCTTCCTCCCTTCTCCCTACCCCTGCCTCCTTTCCAGGAGGTATCAGAAGACCATGGGAAGATTTTTTTATTGTCCTTCAGATAGAATGTAAGCCCCATGAGGGCAGTAACTTTCATTTTTCTTTGTTTTCTCTTTGTGCACATATCAGGAGTTTAATAAGTGCTTGTTGATTGGTTGTTGCATTCTGGAGACCCTGTGGTGCCTCCTGAGGCCTTTGGCTTATGTAGTTTTGAGTCCAAAGCATCCTGCTGACCTTTTCAGAAAAACGGGGTACTGTGCTACCCTTGGAGTTTTCATCAGGGAGGGTCTTCTGGGCCCCAGGGATTCTTTTGGTGGAAGCAAAAGCTGACATGGCCAAGTTTGGTTATTTATTGGTGTTGACAAGAGACTCCAGGAACATTGGCAGTGATTAGAAGACCAATCTGGCCCTTCCTTTCTCCCCACCCTGCCAGGAGGGGTCAAGTGGAGCCATTTCTTCCTAGATTGACAGCTGCTTTGTCCACTTGGTGGATATTGGGGGTTTGTCTCTGGTTGATTAGAGCACAGTGTTGGTGGAGCTTATCTGACTGGGCCTGCCTCCATAGTGTGATGATGTTTTTGAAAGTGCTTTGCAAATCGTAAAGCACTACGCAAGTGCTGGTTGTTCTTTCTATTACCATCTTCTTCATCATTATTAATGATTTTTCCCTGGACACTAGTGTTGCCAATTCCAGAAGTACTTAATCTCCTTTTAGCAAGACACCGCTATCCCAGCCTGTACCAAATCTCCCCTCGTCCTCCTGCTGTGCCTCTCCCCCACCTTCTCACCACACACCCCCTCCCCCCAGCAGGGAGCCTGGAATAGAACCTGGAAGCCCAAGTCTCCGTGGCTGCTCTCTGGCCCTTTTCTCTGTTTGTGCTTCTCAGAGCTGGGGATCCCTTAAACAGGCAGCATCTGTTTTCTTACTGTAACTTAACTCTTTTCAATTGGAATCTTTTCATTCCCCAGACTCTTAGCTCTGCTGTAGGGGGTAGTGTTTGTGGCCTGCACAAAGCTGGGTTGGTAACCAGTCTAGTTCAGTGCCAGGCTCCCCCTGTTTTCCGTAGTGTCTGGTTTCTCTCCCATTCCTCACCCCCAGTCTGACTCCCCCGAGCAGTTGTGGTGTCATCTCTGCTTAATAGTTGTGTTTCTTTCCGTCATAGACAAGCCATTGTCCAGCATGAAGATTCTGACTCTGGGGAAGCTCTCCAGAAACAAGGATGAAATAAAAGCTGCAATAGAAGAACTTGGGGGGAAGCTGACAGGGACAGCTAACAAAGCTTCCCTCTGCATTAGTACAAAAAGTGAGTTTGTCTGTGTGACTCTACTTGTATCTTTAGAGCCCGTGGAACCCTGGTCTTGAGAAGAGGGAGCTTTTACCAAAGCATTGTGTTTATGGTACACCATTCTGGGCCACACAGGGCTAGCTAGGTTCTGCAGGAAAAGTGAGCCTTGGTCCTACTTTTAGAGAGCTGACAGTCTAATTAGAAAACTGAAACTAAGGTGCATGAAACAATTACAGAACAAAGAGGCAGGCCTCACCTTTCTCCATCTTCAGGGCCTGATAGTCAAGGCCCTGTGATGTTGCTCAACAGCATCGGGGTTCCCTGGGCGAGAAGAATCCTCTCCCCTCCTCACATTGTCCCCTTGAAATTGTTACTTTAATTGTTACTTTTTTAATTGTTACCTAAAGAATAGAGAGGTAGTGAGCCCAGGTGAGTGAAGACCCACAGGTTAAGTGGCCTCAGAATTTTGATCTCAACTAGCTTCTCATCTGTTTGAACAGAGGAGGTTGAGAAGATGAATAAGAAGATGGAAGAGGTCAAAGAAGCCAATGTGCGCGTGGTTTCGGAGGATTTCCTCCAAGATGTCTCTGCTTCCGGCAAGAGCCTCCAGGAGCTGCTCTGTCTGCACACCTTGTCCTCCTGGGGCGCTGAAGTGAAGAAAGAACCTGTTGGAGGGAAGAAGTCAGGTGTCTCTTCTTCCAAGAAGAGCAAGGGTCAAGTCAAGGAAGAGGAAGGTGAGTTCAGAGAGAGGCTTCCTCAGGGTCCTGCACCTACACTGGCAGCTGGGCCGCTCTACTGGCTTCTCAATTTATGCACACAATTACAGGGTTTTCTTAGACTTGGCCTAGTGCCACCCAGCTGGGTCAGGTAGCGATCTATCATCATGTAATTGGAGAGTTGGAAGGTTCCTCAGCAGCCGTACAGTCCAGCCCATACTAGAAAGGTATCCCCCCTACAACATACCCAACAAGTGGTTGACCAGTCTCTTGAAGACCTCCAAGGAGTAAGAATTCACCGCCACTCTGCTTTGGGGTGACTTTCATTGTTAGAAAGTGGCATCAGAACTAAAAAAAAAAATTTAAGGGGTGAGAGAGGATTGTACAGGGAGAAGGAGAAAGGGACAGGTAGAATGGGGTAAATTATCTCACATAAAAGAGAGAAGAAAAGGCTTTTACTGTGGAGGGGGGTGGGGTGAGAGGGAATGGCTGAATCTTACTGTCATTGAATTTGGTTTAAGGAGGGAATAACCTACACACTCAGCTGTCTTACCCTACAGGAAAATAGGGGGGAGGGCATAAGGGAGAGGTGATAGGAAGGGAAGGCAGATTGGGGGAGGTGAAAATCAGAAGCAAACACTTTTGAGGAGGGACAGGGTCAAAGGAAAGAATAGAGTAAACCTAGAGCAGGATAGGATAAAGGGAAATAGTTTTTCACAACATGCCTGTTATGGAAGTGTTTTGCATGACTACACATGTATTAACCTATATCAAGTTGCTTGCCTTCTCAACGAGGGTGGGTGGGCAGGGAAGAAGGGAGAGAATTTGGAACCCAAAGTTTGAAAAACAAAAGTTAAAAAGTGTTTTCACATGCAGCTGGGAAATATATACAGGCAATGAGGTATAGAAATCTGTCCTGCCCTATAGGAAAATAGAAAGGGGTGGGTGATAGAATGGAGGGCAGATCAGGGGAAGGGGTGTTCAGAATGTACACCATCTTGGGTGGGGGGAGGGGAGAGATGGGAGAAAATTTGGAATTCAAAATCTTGTGGAAGTGAATGTTGAAAACTAAAATTAAATCAATTAATTTAAAAAAAAGTGGCACGAGGTCTGAATTTGCCACTGTACTGTCTGCCCTTTGTGGCCAAATAGGGCAAGTCTGAAGCCTGATGTCCTTTCCTCCAGCCTGCTCATGTCTAGCGCCTCCTACAGTCCAGTTCCAGTCCCTTCACAATCTTGGTTGCTCTCCTGTGGACACTGTCCGGCTTATCCGCATCCTTCTCAGGAATTTGTTTTCACGTTAATGATACTGCAGCTCATTTTTTTTTTAATAAGGTCGGAGAGGGATCAGGCACTTCCTTTTCCTAAAGCAGCCCCTCACTTATTACCTTTCTGTTTCTCCTTTGCAGGGACCAACAAATCAGAAAAGAAAATGAAATTAACACTGAAAGGTGGAGCAGCTGTGGATCCTGATTCTGGTGAGTGAAACTTAGAGGACAGCAGAGCAGTCTTAAAGGGTTTTGATGTAGTGTTTGACAAAGGGAAAATCTAAAAAGATTGCGTGAGAAATTACTTACTCTTGTGAATATGTGGTTATCTAACATTGTCTTTGTTTTCCTCCTCCCACCCCTCAGTAAGCATATAGGATAGATATTGAAGTAATTTGGTATAATTGAATTTAGTCAGCATGTTAGCCCTTTAGAGTGTCCTGCCTAGGATTCTCCCTCTGGAATCCAAAGGAACTGGATTCACATTCTGGCTCTCCCATTTACCACTTCTGTGGCCCTGGCAAGTCACTTTTATGTTCTCTGGGTAATTGTATACTTTGTCTCTATGATCAGGGCTCGAGGACTCAGCTCACGTACTTGAAAAAAATGGAAAAATCTTCAGTGCCACCCTTGGCCTTGTGGACATTGTTAAAGGCACCAACTCGTATTATAAGCTGCAGCTCCTGGAGGATGATCGAGAAATCAGGTGGGTTCTTGGGGCAGGATGGGGCATGGGTTAGAGCAGTTTTTGGAGTGCTGGGTTCAGTGAATGTTTCACAGAAACAGAATCAGAGTTGGAAGCGCCTTCAGAGGCCTCCACCTGAACCAAGAGGCCTTCTACAGTGTCCTCAAAGAAGTGGTCCTCTGGCCTCCTCTTCACTTGAAGACCTCCAGTGAAAGGGAACCTACTCAGTTTGGAGGCAATTCTTAACAGTTAGGAAGTTTTTCCTTCTGTCAAGCCTGAACATTCCTTTCTGAAACATCTGTTCTTTGTTCCTAGTTCTGCCCCCTGGGCCCAAGGAGAACAACTGTGATTCCTTTTCCATATGACAGAGCTTCAAAAACTTGAAGGCATCTGTTTTTCCCTTCCTGATTGCTTTACTAGCTAAACATCTACACTTCATTCATCTTATTAAACATCTACACTTCATTCAACTTAACCTTGTTATCCTGTGGAGTTCTTGTGCATGAATCCTCCAAAGAGGACCTCTCCCACATTTCTGGAGGTCTTCCTCTACATATTTTATCCATTTAATAATTATAACCAGCATTTATACAACGCTTAAGGCTTGCAAAGCTTTTGCTTTATAAGTATTAACTTCACTTCATCCTCACACAACGACCCTGAAAGGTAGGTGCTATTTTCATCCCCATTTTACAAATGCAGAAACTGAGGCAGATTGGGTTAAGTGACTTGCCCAAGGTCCCATAGCTATTAAGAGTCCAAGGCCAAATTTGAATTCAGGTCCTCTTGACTCCAGGCTCAGTCCTTTATCCACTGTGGCACCTCTCACTGCATGGTTGTCCCACTTCCTTTTCCAATCTTACATTTCTTGGATGAAATCTCCTGTGATTTTTTTTTTTTCAGTAATCATTGTTGGTTAATATTCCATAGCCTAAACTCACTTTGTCTCCTTTACCTTCTGGGTCACTGTAGATTAGATTCTCTGAAGATGGTGTTCTTTCTTTTATACCATCACCAGAGTGATGTCAGTGTTGAAATGATGGGCTCAGTAATTTGGAACTATGGCCAAAGAGCTATAAATTTGTGCATACCATTTGATCTGGCAATACTATTACTAGGTCTGTATCCCAAAGAGATCATAAAAAAGGGAAAAGGACCTGTGTGTACAAAAATATTTATAGCAGCTCTTTTCGTGGTGGCTGGGAATTGGAAATTGAGGGGTTGCCCATCAATTTGGGAATGGCTGAACAAGTTGTGGTGTATGAATGTGAAGGAATACTATTGTGCTTTAAGAAATAATGAGCAGACAGATTTCGGACAAACCTGGAAGGACTTACATGAACTGATGCTGAGTGAAGTGAGCAGAAACAGGAGAATATTGTACACAGTAGCAGCCACATTGTGCAATGACCAACGTTGATAGACTTATTCTTTTCAGCAGTGTAAGGATCTAAAAAACTCCAAAAGACTCATGATGGAAAATGCTGTCCACATCCAGAGAAGGAACTACGGAGTCTGAATGCAGATCGAAGCATACTATTTTCACCTTGTTTTTGTTTTTTCTTTCTCTTGGTTTTTCCCTTTCACAAAATTACTCATGTGGAATTATGTTTAATATGATTGTACATGGATGGCCAATATCAGATTATTTGCCGTCTTGGGGAAGGAGGGAGGGAGAAAAAAGCTTGGAACTCAATATCGTATAAAATTTAATGTTGAAAACTTTTCTTACATGTAATTGCAAAAAAAAAAACTTTTTAAAAAAGTAAAAAAGAAATAAAAATGATGAGCTCATCCTGCTTGATAGGTTGCACAGCTCAGGGATGAGCCTAGGTCTTCTGCCCCCAAATGTAATGTTCCACACCATCTCCATGAATGGTTTCTGTAACCAAAATAATCCCTTCTTAAGAGGATAGGAGTGTTTTCTGTCCTCCAGTTGTGAATCATAAGGAAGATCCATGGGCCAGAAGGGACAAGAGTTAACAAGTCCCAAGTACAACTGTTGGGGGCCAGGAGCAAACTGTACTCATGTGCCTCAGATTCAACAGTCTAACTTTGCTTCCTCAGTTTTGTTGTTTGGTGGTAGGTTGTATCTGTATCTGTGCCTGTGTAGAAGGGCGGGTAGCAGGGATGACACAGGCTTCTCTAGGGTGGGGTTGATGAGAGAGCTCTCCTAGTGGTCAAGAATGACATTTCTTAGAAGGCCTTAGGCCATCCTGATAACAAATGGAAATTTAACTCCCTTATGCTCTCTTCAGGCTGGCAGCCCACACTAAACACAGCTTACTGCTGACCTTGGATAGAGCATTTTAGGGGGAGTAAAGAGCTTGTGAATTTTCCTAAACTTTTAATTGTCCTTGGGTTTTTTGTTGTTGCTGCTGTTTAGTATTAAAGTTTCTTTGAAAAGTCTTCTCCTCTCCATAGAAGTACATGCAACTAAATTTCAGGCCTTTTGACTGTTTTTGTCTCTCCCTGCCCCTCACTCCAGGTACTGGATATTTAGATCTTGGGGCCGAGTGGGCACTGTGATTGGCAGCAATAAACTAGAACAGATGTCATCCAGGGAAGATGCCATTGATCATTTTTTGAAGTTATATGAGGAGAAAACTGGCAACTCCTGGCATTCCAGCAACTTCACTAAATATCCCAAGAAGTTCTACCCCCTGGAGATTGACTATGGGCAGGTAATCATCTAACACTCTTCCATCAGAAATAATATGCCCTTCCTCCAACTAGTGAAGGAAGGTCTTTGCTTTAAAGTTTTATAGGAAGAGACATGGGAGGGAAAGCCAAGACAAGAATGTAATACTTTAATAAATCATTGGATAGACTTACATTCCTAACAAAGTGGGCGATGAGGCATAGCCCACCCCATTTTACAAATTAGAAGAAAGCAGCTTCCCAGTTCACTGTCCACATAGAGAACTAAGGAGTCTGTCTGCCAGATTCCCTGACTTAGCTGTGAGTCATAAATTAAATCTAATGCCGATCCCTGGTTCACAAGGCCTTAAAAGTGCTTTTGTTCTCTTGCTTTCCAAAAAGAGAGGAAAGAAAATCTTAAATTGATGTTTTGGGTCTCTCCCTTAATAGAGTGTTTGAAGATTGAATATTCTTCTGTACCTCTCCATTTCTACTGGCGAGCTCTTAGTATTTCTTAAGGGCTTTTTGTTTTTGGTTTTTTTTTTAATATGCTTGTCTTTTTTAAATCATTCATTAAAAACTCTTTCTTTTGGCCATGTGAGCTTGGACAAAGCCTCTCAGCACCTCCAAGCAATGAATACTCTGAAACTTTTCAAACTACTGGTGCAGTTGCTCCTTACTATGACCCTGATTGGGGCATGGGGTCCCTACAATAATAGAATTGAAGGTCTGATGAATGGGGGGAAAGCCACTTGAGAATTGCAGGTCAGTACCATTAGGACCTTCTTAGACCTTTCTCTCCTTGCTCCTTAATCATTTGTCCAAAACCTATAGTGATCATTACAGTGTAAATATTAGAATATAATGTCCTTGAAGGCCAGGATTATTTTTGCCAGTGTAGATAGATGTTATTGGTTTGCTGTTCCCAAAGCATTGAGGCCTGTTTCCTCCCCTGCTTTCTTATCTGATTCCTCCCCCCCCCCCCCCCCCCCCCGCCCCAGGATGAAGAGGCTGTGAAGAAGCTGACTGTCAGTGCGGGCACCAAGTCGAAACTCCCCAAACCAGTTCAGAACCTCATCAAGATGATCTTTGACGTGGAGAGCATGAAAAAGGCCATGGTGGAATTCGAGGTTGTTGCATATTGTTAACTTTGGCCAGCCTGTTTGTTGACAATGTTGGATGGTATAACGGGCTGCCCGGAGTAGTGGACAGAAGATGGGACTTTACCTGGGTTCACGGCCTGCCTCCAGTCCTTATTGGTCACTTTCCCTCCTAGTGTATGGGGCAGTTCTAACGCTGTAAGGGAAAGTTTTGCTGAAGGGAGCTTCCTCGTCTGGAAATTACCTCTACACTGAAATCAAGGTCCATACTCAGTCCTGTATTAGTAAGCTGGTTATTCCTTCATTTTAGATAAAGAGCCTGAAGCAAAATGGAGTTTTCCTTGCCTATGGACAGTTACTGTGGACAGTAACTATGAATCCTTTTTCTGTGTAGGCTAATGTATTTCCCCACAGAGTTTTAATATGAAACTATATTGATGACTGATGTTTTAAGCTGCTTGGAGACATACCTGAGTTCCTCATTCCCTTTCTTCCCTTTTTACCCCATCTCTCTCTCCTTCTTTCCGTATTTCCCTTCCCTGTCCCCTCCCATCCTTTTTCTTTTCTTTCAGAAATAAAACATTACTCTTTCTATGGATCAGTTTGTATGGGGGAAGTGCTTAGTCTATTTGCTATTAAAGAGAATCACAAGTCTAAATTGCAGATTAGATCATCTTTGAGAATAGCCAATCACACATTTGTTTCCTTCCCCCATCCAAAAAAAATGCAGTTTAGGCCAACTGAATAGAAAAGGTGGCTTTAATTTCTTTAGTGATATGTCTTCCCAGTACACTGAACTGATTTGTGTGTCATCTTATTGAGACTGGTATTTACAAGATGGCACTGAAAGTGTCACTTTTGTTAGAGGAATTGCTCTCTTCCTGGCTCCCACCCTTTCCCCTCAAGTAGAAAGGAGTCTGTCCTTGCTTCAAGGTAGAAACTGAGCAGCATCTCTCTTCTCCTGGGGTTTCCCGGACAGCCTGTGCCTCTCATTGGATGCTTGACATTGCCATTGGATCACATAGCTATGTGATTTTGGATCATCTCTGCACCTCAGTTTCCTCACCTGTAAAATTAGAATGTAAAATAATATATTAAATCTACATCTTAGCTACCTTCAGACTCTTTAAGTTCTGTGATCATAATTCTGACCTTATAGCCATAGTATCTGACTGTAAAATAGATTTGAAGTTATACCATACAGAGGCTAATCCACACAGACTTGACCATGCTCTAAGATCTCCCCCATTTTAGTGATAAAGATGCATATTACCCACCTTCTGGCAGAGAATTACGGGCTCAAGTTACAGGATAAGACATTTGTTTTTCTTGACTTTGCAAGAAAAATCAAGACAGTGGTTTTGTTTTTCCTTCTCATTGGGGAGGAGGTAGAGATAACAGCTGGGTGAAATAATTGCTTCTCAATTTTGAAGGGCGAACTCAATTTAAAAAGTAAAACAAAACCTCAATACCAGGTTTCTTCCAGAGGCATTGAGGAAAGAGCCACAATTTAGTTGACTCCACATTTAACATTTGATGAAAATTATTCTATGTCCTTTTCCAATGATCGTAACTTTTTTCAGACACCCTGGAGACTTTTAGTAGCCCCTAAAGCAAATGATGAATAGCAATATCCTTTTTTTACAGAAGTCCTTAGGACTAGTTCTGTAAATTTGACGCATTGCGTTTATGGCCATATTCTTTGTTTCTGGTGGTAGACATCCTGTCAGACATATGGGTCTTAGTATCTATATCTCCATTCCAACTAGAAATTCAACTCAGAGGTGTGTCACTTAAGAGTTATTGGTATTATTCCCTAGCATTTTAGGGAACCCACTTTTAATGGAGTGAATGTCTCATCAGATTGACCTTCAGAAGATGCCACTGGGAAAGCTGAGCAAGAGGCAGATCCAAAATGCATATTCAATCCTCAGCGAGGTCCAGCAGGTAAGCATGAAGCATGTTACCATCACATACCACTACACTCCCTCTCCCCCTTTCATTCATTTTCACTTCTCCAAGACATAGGAAACATTTTATTAGTCACTCAAGGTTTCAGTTGAGCCAAATCCTTATAGAAGTCAGGCTTTAATTTGGAGCAGGAAGGGAGTAGTAAGTAACTTTTTAGCAATCTTCTCAGTTAATTTATCTCAAGAGAGTTTGTTAGGATGAAATTCAAGGGAAAGGAAAGGTAATCCTAAGAAATTTGGTAAACCTTTTTTTTTTTTTTTTAAGTTAAAAACTTTCTGGAGATTTTCATTTTCTCAGCCCATAAAAATGAAGACCTCCCATCATAGGCTTGACCTGAGAGTTAGCCTGTTCAACTGTGCCTTTGTCTATACTCTTGGATTCCTTTCTCCCTTGTCCTTCCCATCCTCAGCCCTAGATCCCTGTTGCCATCCACCCTATTCCTACTCCTGTGCTATCAAATACCATTGGAGGGAATCACATAACCATGCCAACTGGATCATTTACAAATTTATGTTAACTAATCTCAACCAGGCTCTCACGGCTACTCAGAAGCCCTTTTATTTTCCTCTCTTGACGTTCTGTCACCATTCGAAATCATTCCAGAGCTTTTCTCTCCTCAGCCTACCCCACCCTCTCTCAGTTTATGATCTTGCCTTCTACTTTAGTGAGAAATGGCTACCATCCATCATGCATTCCTCCTGTTCTGCATCTTAAACTCTCCTATATAGTCACGCATTCTCTTCTCCTTTGTGGAAGCCTCTGAGGAAAAGATGTCCCTTCTTGTCAAGGCCAACTGATGATCTTACCTCTTAAACTTACCCCTCTTCTAGACTTCCCAGTTTCTGTTAAGGGCACAACTACCTTCTAGTTTGTATCCACAGTCATCCGTGACTCATCTGTTCCCTCCCACCATGTCTACATTGCTCATATTTCACTCAACCCCCCTAGCTCAGGCCGTCATCACCCCTGGTCTCCTGTAATAATGCCAGTCCCTCCCCTCTCTGGTCCATCTTCAGTACATCCTAGATAATATATCCCTAAAACACAGAGCTGACCATATCACTCCCCCTGCTCCAAAAATTTAGTACATTTAGTTCTTCCCCTCAGTTTAGCATTTAAGACCCGTGACAGTCTGACTCCCACCTACTATTCCAGACTTAACTAAATATTACTCCGCCTTCATGCTCTCTGCATTCAGCCGAACAGAACTACTTACTGGCTTCTTAATGAATGTGACATTCCCTCTTCTACCTCTGCATTCACACAAGCTGTCTCCATTCTCTCCCACCCACTACCCCTCACTCCTTAATTCCTCAGAAAGAACAAATTCACTCTTTATTTCTTGGAACTTTGCTTTTCCTTCAAGGATCAATTTCAGATCTCCCGAGTTGTTACTGCTCTCTCTCCTCCTTTAAATTACCTGATGTTTAGTTATCTGTACATTTTATATGTTCCAGGAGAACTGAAGTTCCTTGAGGGCAGGCATTGTTTTAATTTTTTTGTCTTTGTATCTCAGTGCCTTGCATGTGGTAAGTTCTTAGTAGGTGGCTATTGAATTGAGCTGAACTAAAGGTGGAAAATACAGCTTGCAGTTAGATCACAAACTCTATGTGGAAAATTTATCTCCTCTCAGGTTCCTGTTGTGAGCAGGCCACGCATAGGTTTTTTTTCTTACAGTTGTAAAGGAGAATCTATGCCCATCTCAGTGGATCCAGCCCCAGGAAAGAGCAGGGACGTTTTAGGGAGATAAGATTCTGGTAATCGGTGGAGAGGATTCCCTGCAAGTTAGTGTTTAGACTGGAGATAGAGTGTTTCCTCTCAATGGTACCTTTCCTTGATGCTAGGGATAGTGCTGTCTTCCCATTGGGGGTCTGAACCTTTGGCTGCCAGAGGGTCTCTTCCCCCAGTTCTCACCCTGGTGACCCAGCTTTTATTCATTTAGCTAGACTTATTGAACACGTTGGTACACATTCCACCAAACAGATCTCTGTCAAAGGAGGGCCAGGTTGCAAGTGTAATTAATACAAGGCTTGTTTTAGACAACCAATTCCCTGAGTGAGAAGATAGGAAGAGACTGAATAGAAGCCATTTAAAATGTACCTTCTGGGCATGTGAGAGCAGTGGATTTGGCTGTTAATTCTTTTTTTCTTTCAGACACAACTTTTACAAAAATGTCCAGTCCTCCATATTCATTAATAGTACTGTTAATTCCTTTCTTGAGTACTGGTTCTAAAAACAACCCAAATGTCCTCAGTAATACAATACATGGAAAGTTAGTTTCTGCATAGAATCTAACTACTTTCCATAATCATCATGCCCTCCACTTAGACCCATCTGGAGTAATATATTTTTATGTTGTATTCTTCCAAGCAGGGAGGTAGAGAAATATAGCAGAGGGTGCTTAATAATCACCTCCCTTCCTCTTTCTCATTCTTAACTATGTGTTACCTCCCATTCTGATATCTTCTCCTGCAGGTGGTGTCCCAGGGTGGCAGCGACTCTCAGATTCTGGACCTCTCCAATCGCTTCTATACCCTGATTCCCCATGACTTTGGAATGAAGAAGCCCCCACTCCTGAACAACATTGATTGTGTGCAGGTAAGGAAGAGAACTCCTGGGCAGGGAGGCTGGAGAAGGCTGCCAACCCATAGTCCTTGGCACCCTCCTCCCCTGCCTCCCACCACCCATCACTTCTTCTCAAGTATCATTGCAGATACGTCTTAGCACTTAGATAAATGCTTTCTGAAGTAAGATGTAGATGGAGTTACTTATTGGCACATCAGACTCCACCTACTCATAAAGAATTGGCTGAAGGGAGAGTTGAGCTTGTCTCGCTCTCTTGCCTTCCAAGACTGATCTTCCAAAAAAGCAGTATATCTTGGGTATAGGGCATGTGAATGAATCATATCCACTGGAGACCAGAAATCACAAGTAGGAGAAAAGATGTTTCTTTCTTCCTCCATCTCTTTAGCCTAGCAATAATGTGGAAAACATTGCCTCCAAGTAGAAGGCTAGCCAATTAGCAAGCATTTATTAAGCATCTACTGTGTGCCAGTCTCTGAGCAAAGCCTTAAGTGCCTACTGTGTGCCAGGAATTGCAAGGAGCTTGTTGAAATCACCTTCTGATTGTTCTCCCTGCCTCAACTCTCTCCTCTTCAATCTATTCACCTCTCAGATGCCAAAATGATTTTATTAATGCCTGGATCTGACCGTGTCACACACATCCATACTAAATAAACCCCAGTGACTCCCTGTTCCAGGATCAAATAGAAAAACTCGTTTGGCATCTCATCTCAAGCCCTTCATAATCTGGCTATTCCTACCTTTTATCTTACCCCTTTATTCTCTTAATACATGTTACAGTCCATCAACGCTGGCCTGCTTAACATTTTTTGCATATGAGATTCTTATTTCCCATCTCCATGCCTTTGCATTTGGCTGTGCCCCGCTCTGCAAATGCTCTGCCTCTTAGCTTCCCTTGCTTTCATCAGATTTAACTCCAATCTCATTGGTCTCCCCAGCTGTTAGTACATTCTCTTCTGAGATTACTTTCTGTCCACTCTGTATAAACCTTATATATACCTATCTATATGCCTGCTATCCCCCCCCCCCCTTAGAATATAAGCCTCTGGAAGGCAAGAACTGTTTTCACCCTTCTTTGTATCCCTAGCACTTAGCACAGTGCCTGGCACAGAGTAAGCTGCAAGTAAGTTAGTACTTGCTGACTGACTTGATTGACCAGAATTAGTTCCATGTAAGTGGTGACCCCTTTTTTTTTTTTTAAGTTCTTCTCCTTCCCCATCTTCTTATACCATCAACTTGAGGCATGCGGCATGTTTCCTTGGGGAATTGTAGCGTACTGTTAACCATGCAGGACAAGGTCAGGCCGTATAAGTTATCCTTCACACCTATCAAGGTTTGGATGGAAACTCAGCATCTGACCCATTTTTGATTCTCCAGGCCAAAGTAGAGATGCTAGACAACCTACTGGACATTGAGGTGGCCTATAGTCTACTCCGTGGCGGGTCTGAAGATGGCAGCAAGGATCCCATTGATGTTAACTATGAGAAGCTTAAAACTGATATTAAGGTAACAGGTATCCCTTTCTTTTGCTAAAGGGACTGGGCATTTGACTGTATCATAACCTAACCTGTCTCAGCAGTTGAAGAAATAGTTTCTCTTTACAGATTCAGCTCCCAAGCCATAATTAACCTAGAGTAACCTGGAGTCCAGGTCCGTGAATAGATTTCATGGGGTTTGTGAACTTGGGGGGGAGGGGGAAATGTCTATATTTTCACTAACTTCTAAAGGAAACTTAGCATTTCCTTCATTTAGTTTATTTAATAAAAACATTATTTTGAGAAAGGGTCCATAAGCTTCACCAGACTATCAAAGGGACCCATGAGCCCCAGAATTTCCTGATTTAGAGGGATCTTTAAGGTGCTAGCTATTTCAAGGGAGTTTTTTGCTTTATTTGGTCCAGAGTAACAGTTTTAAGTCTTTTTGTCTTTTTGTCTTTTTTTTTTAATTTGGTCTCCCTATCTTCCTGCCACAGATACTTAGGACCCCAGAGGCACTGCGGATAAGTAGATTTAACTGCCTCCATCTCCGACCAGGGTTGACCCACACCATCCCCTGGTAGTGTGGCAGCCCCACTCTCACTGTGTTGGTGCTGAATTTATTGTGGGCACATGATTGGCTTAACTCATTTCAGCTTAGCTGTAGCAGTCCATGATGTCTGGATGTGGATTAACTTCTAAAAGACATATACCTGCATCTAGTTTTAAGAACTCTGGGAAAAAATGTCCTTGGAAATCTGGTGGCTTCTTCTATCACCTCAGATGGCAAGTATAGCAAACCTGCCAGTTGAAAGCATTCTTTCTTTGAAAAATAAAATGGCAGGTATAGACAATCTTAAAAGTGACATGTGATTCAGCACTAGGTAGGCTATAAACAGAGCCAGAAAGACCATTGGCCATTGGTCAGGACCTGGGTTCCAGTCTCACATCCCTCCTACTTATTACCTCTGTGACATTGAGCAAGTCACTAAAGCTCATTGAGCTTCAATCTCTGTGTCTGAAAAGAAGGAAATTGAACTCGGTGGCTTCTGAGATCCCTTCCTGCTCTTAATCTGGGACCCTCTGAGCTCATTTCTGATCTTTACTCCAATCCAAACTTGCTGTGACCTTGAACCGAGTAACGTGACCTGTGCATTATCTTTCTTGTCCGTACACTGAGCTGTAGTACTGCCCTCTTCACAGGACTCTTCTAAGAGGAATGAGCCGTGATGGTATTACATCCTTAGGGTGTCAGGGCTGGACTAGAACCTAGCAATCCAGACTACTCGGCCAGTGCCTTTTCACCCATTGCACCCCACCCCCCCGGGCAATAAACTTGCCTACTTCCCAAGGAAGTACTGTTCTAAGCTTGTTTTGATCAGGTTTCTGACCAGCCCTGGGCCTAAATGGGTGGGTGGGTTCCTTCCTTCACTTCATTCAGTGAGTCTCTTCCAGGTGGTTGACCAGAACTCAGAAGAAGCTGACATCATCAGGCAGTATGTTAAGAACACACACGCTACTACTCACAATGCCTACGACTTGGAAATTATTGATGTAAGAAACCATCCTACTTCTTCCTTTGCTCAGCCCCCAGGTGGGACAGAACAGTATATTGTACCCAACAGCATTTTTAGGAAATGGCCCATCTTTAAAGTTGAACAGAAATTGGGCTTGTTTTAAAGTACCCTTTTATTTTGCTTTTTCTCAAATTAAAAATTTGGGCACCCCATTCAAAACCAAGAGAGTTAATCAAAAAGCTAAAACAGTGTTTCTTTTTTTAAAACTACTTTTTCTCTTTATTTTCTATCATTGAATAACAAGTCTCTGAAGAAAAGTGAGAAGTTTAGAAAGTAACTGTACAAATAGTAGAAATTTGTAGACTTTGAACTTGAGATCATCTGTTATCTCTGGGAAGGATTTTAAGACTTCCAGAGGGAAAACTACTACAGCTTCTTGTCCAGCAAACAGAAAAGTTTCTCTTAGTGGCTCTACAAAATTTGTGTTTTGTTTTGGATTTGGGAAAAAGGAGAGAGCCAAGAGAGATCTTTGCTTTTGAAGTAGCCTGGCTCCTAAAAGTTCATTTCATTCCTTGAGTAGTGAGTGACCAGCCAGGATTTCATCCCTTTCTCTCTTGTTAAATACTGCTTTTAGATCTTCAAGATTGAGCGTGAAGGGGAAAGCCAACGCTACAAGCCCTTCAAGCAGCTTCATAACCGGCGGCTGCTGTGGCATGGGTCCAGGGCCACCAACTTTGCCGGGATACTCTCTCAGGGTCTTCGAATCGCCCCACCTGAAGCCCCTGTGGTATGTAGGAGAGGTTGTACACAGCTGCATTTTTCTCCTTAGGTACCTTCGAGTGAACCTCCCAGTGAGAGAGGGAGGAGACCTTGTTTGAAAGAAAGCTCAAGTAGTTGGCTCAAAGTGGGAGGGGACAGATATGAAAATAGTGGCCAGGGCATCCCTTCAGTGCAAGAATCCATCCTGTAATCTAACAGACGTTTATCTAGCCTCTGCTTGAACATGTCCAGTGAAAAGGAGCTCACCTTTTAACAGGGCGTGTCATTCCATTTTAAACAAGTCTTAATGATTTTTCCTATTTATATTGAACCCAAATCTGTCTTCCCCTGGGTCCTGGTGTTGCCTCTGGAATAATACAAAATAAATCCAGTCCCTTTTCTGTGTGGCAGTCCTTTAAGTTTATTTAGTGCCCCTGTGATTTACAGAGCACCTTCCTCACTAGTCTATGAGATGGTATGATTGCCTTCGTTTTATAGATAAGTCTAACATGGAGTAACACAGCTAGGAACATAGATTTAGAGTTGGGGAGGATCTTAGAGGCTGTCTGGTCCTACCTTTGTCATTTTACAGTTGACAAAACTGGCCCAGCAAGTTTAACTACACTGACTTGCCCGAGGTGACACATTGTTGGGACATAGGAGAAACAGGAATCAAAGAGCTCCGGGCTCTACATTCTTTCTTCAGTCTTGTCTGTTAATGTCACATCCCGCATCCTTTCTGCTATACTACTGTCTCGATAAGCGGTTATCAAACATTTTGGTCTCAGAATGACTTCATATCTTTAAAGAACTTTTCGAAATGACAGTTAGTTACAGGAGGTATCTATCTAATAGTTATCTATTAATAAATGCTATATTATTATGAAAATAGTTTCCACCTCCCAGACCACACTTTGAGAACCACTGGTCTAGATGAAGCAAACTCATGACTCTCCCCTTCCTGTGCTTCTATTAGTATCCCCTTTCCCAAGCTTGAATATCCATAATATCCGTTAGCTTTTCTTCACAGATTCCTGACCTACTGGTTGCCCTATGGACATACCCACTGAGGCTGTGACCTCTGACCAGAACTAATTCTTGACCCCACCCCCATTCAGTTGAGTACAGAATGGTTAATGAGACCTGCAGGTCACTGTAGGGTCAGCAGTACAAATTTAGACTATACCCAGCACCTTTAAATCAAAATTGCTATATCATTGGCCTGTAGTCTGCACTCCATTGAGAAGCTTTCAGCTTACTTATGATTTGCTTTTGTTTTATCATTTGTGTTCTGTATGGTACCTTGTTATGTACAAAATAGTCTCTCAAATCTTTGTTTGGTTTCCACCCTTACAGACTGGCTACATGTTTGGTAAAGGAATCTATTTTGCTGACATGGTTTCCAAGAGTGCCAATTACTGCCACACATCACAGGGAGACCCAATAGGATTAATCCTCCTGGGAGAAGTTGCTCTTGGAAACATGTAAGTAACTTTGATTTGGGGCCATTGAGACTAGGTGGGCTTATTGTTGGAGAAAAAATTCTTTTAAGTTGCTGTTGTCATATAGGTAAAGACTATAGAAATTTCCCATCATTTATTCCAAACCAGAGAACCTTTCTTAACAAACAGACCCATAAGCACTTACTACTGGGATAGCGGCCAAAAGACAGTCTTTGCCCTCAAGCAGTTTATATTCTGATGCAAAGGACCACACTTAAGGGAAAGCTAGAAAGTTGAGGGTGGGGAGGTGGTAGGAATCCCTGCTGAGGTTTGCTTCTGGCCTGGAAGGTGAAACTTAACCTCTCTTAGAATGGAAACTCCTTGAAGCCAGGGGCTGTTCTCTTTTGTCCTTGATAGCACAGTACTTGGCATATTTAATCAGTACTATTGAATTAAATTAAGGGGGGTGGAATAAGCAGTGTTTCCAGTTTCAAGTTTTGCTGCAGTTGTCCTGTTTTAAACAAACTGGCCACATTGTCCCCATATTTTGTTAAGGTTACTAAGGCAGGATAAGCTTAAGGCAGCTGTAAGCTCTTTAATGGTTGAAAACTGCCCTAAGACTTTTGGGACAGCCTGTGTCCTTATATTTGGTGCGCCAATGTACCTGAAGAGAGACTGAAAAATGCCTTTTTCTATGTGTTCTTTTGAATAGGTATGAACTGAAGCATGCATCCCACATCAGCAAGTTACCCAAGGGCAAGCACAGTGTCAAAGGTAACATTTCATGGGCTGTTGGCTCTGACTGAGGCCCACCCACACAATAGGCTTCTGTTTTGCCAGTGAGGCCAGATCCTATTGCTAGGCGTTCCATAGCTTGGGGAGATTGGTAAGTAGCTTAGGGTTACTGAAATCTGTGTGCCTGGGCTAGTAGAAGAGTTGTAGACTTGTGATCAGGAGACCTAGGTTCAAATCCTGCTTCTAACTCTGATAGCTGGGTGACTCTGGGTACCCTGCCACCTCTCTGAGTCAGTTTCTTCATTTGTAAAAATTGCCTGGTGTATGGGAGAGAGGGGTTTGGCCCTTAAATTCAGGGACTCAGGTTCAAAATATGCCTCTGATCCATGCTGGTTTTGTAACACACCCTGGGCAAATCACTTAATCATGAATGCTCAAGCAAAGCTTTAGACCATATCTCACATTAGTGGAGGGAGTTTCCACGTGAGGAATTCCCCATCAATGAAATCACAGAACCCAGGATAAAAATAATAATAATTCTTCTGCACGTCCCCACCCCCAATAGGGTGATGGGGGAAGGGTACTCCTAAACCATTAAATGCTGTAGAAGTGTTAGTTATGATTATCTCTGTGGTGCTAGAGAAATGCAAGCTATTTGTCCATACCAGCCTGTAAAAGCTGCCATTTTGAATTTGAGTTTTGATTTAGTAGAAAATAATACGTTGTGTCTAACTCATTAAGAAAGTGTGCTGCATGGCTGGTCTGTGCCCAGGAACCTGGGGTACCTGCTTTTTCTCACTTTGGTAGGGATGGATCTAAATGAAGGGCACTACCTAGGAATTGGAGGGGGGGGAGTAGGCAGTAGGCCAATCTAGAGTGTTTAATGTTAGGAGCTTAACCAGTGATGGTTTCTAAAGAGATGTAAAAGTTAATGATCTTGTACCTGACTATGCTGGCTTCATTTCCAAGTCTAGAGCAAAGGGGAAAAGATGTGAAGTAGAATTAGCAGATGAGAAAATAATGTTTATTTGGGAAACAGATAGACCAGCCTTTAAATAGTAACAATAATAATAATTCACACTTACCCCTATCATATGCCTGTGTTTGAAAAAAGTGGAAATTTTCTTCCTGGGGCCTACATGTTTATACCACAGTTTAAACCACAGTTTCTCTTTTTTTCAGGCTTGGGCAAAACTGCGCCCGATCCGACAGCCAGTGTCACTCTTGATGGTGTGGAAATTCCCTTGGGAACTGGGGTTCCTTCTGGTGTTAGTGACACCTGTCTCCTATATAACGAGTATCCTTTCTTGGCCTTTGTGTTCAACCCCACCTTTTCAAAATGGCTGGAGCTTGTTCCCATACCCCCCAATTGTGTATTATGTGATTTTTCTGTCACTTCAGGAACTGTTCTAGGAGCTTAGTAGTTCAAGTGTATAGCCCAGGTAAATGATAAATCAAAGTTGGCCAAAGGATCTTTGGGTGGGGACAGGGATAGTGTCATCCTGCCCCCCCCACCCCAATTTTTTCCTTTTACATTTGTATTGATATCTTTTGTTTTTACATCACCTCCCTTTTCAGATGTGACACTCTCCTCTTGCACACACCCAATAATCCATCCCTTGTAACAACATTTAAAAGGGAAAGAGAAGAAGCACCATGTGGCAAAATGAACCAAGTGTGGCAGAAGGGGTGCCATTCCATACCTGTGGTTCTTCCCTTCTGAAGAGAAGGGAGATCAGTGCATCTTCTCACCTCTTCTCCGGTGCCAAGCCTGGTTATTACAGTCACACATTGTTTGCTTGTGGTGGGAGCATTATTCTTCCATCTCTCATGGTGGAGACAGGTTTTCCTGGTTCTGTTAAACTTTATTCCACGGTGATTTATATACAAGTCTTCCCACCATATTCGCTCTTAATTGTAAGTCCAAAGATTTAGATGTGTACTTGCCTCTAGTCCAACCTTCTCCATGTGTTTCATGTAAAATGCAAGAGAAGACACATTGGATGACCATCAGATTTATGTTGGGATAGGTTAAGAATTCTGCTTTCAAGGTGTGTATCACACAGTAAAGGACAGTGTATTGAATGAAAAAAAGAGATCATTTATTAAGCACTTACGCGTAAAGTAATTGGGCTAAAGGCTGAAGATAAACAAGCACTTAAGTGGTACAGCAGGTAAAGCACCAAAATTGGAGTGGAAAGACCTGGGTTTGAATCCAGCCTCAGACGCTTAGTAGTTGTGTGACATTGGGCAAGTCACTTAACCTGTTTGCCTCAATTTTCTCAGCTGAAAAATAGGGATAATACCTACTCCCAGAGTGGCAAGAGGATCAAATTCATATTTGTAAAGTACTCACCACAGTTGTTACTTGTATTATTATTATCAAAACTAAAAAGAGGAAACAGTTCCTGTTCACAAGAATCTCACATTCAAATGAAGGAGACAACACATATAGGAGGGTTCAGCTACAAGTCAAACGAAAGGTCCCGTTGTCCTTAGAAATAACGATAAAGTAGATTAACGCACCATCTTCACTACTACTTCTGCTGGGAACCATATAAATTGATGGTGTTTGACATGTTTGACGTTTGACATAGCAAGAATTTTCTTTCTAGGTCTTCAGTAGCTGTGGCTGCTGAGGTGGTGGCCTGGAGGTTGCTGCTATTCCCAGGGCTGTCTCCATCAGGATCAGAATTATTGGGGTAGTGCTCAAGATGGTGGCTGTGGGTTGATTGGCCTGGTACTTAACTGCCTCCTTTGGGGCTGCCGACTCCTTCTGGTAAACTGGCTTGCCTTCCTTGTGGGTTGATGACGGGCCCCATTTCTAGATCATGGTTCCCATACCAAGATCAAAGCAGGGGTGGGGAGGAGAAAAGGTGGGTGGTGCAGGTGATGTGCAGCTCTTCCTGGGACTCTTGGGCCTCCCTGGCCTTTGAACCCTTTCTTGGGTTCATCTTGAGCTTTGAAAAGGTCAGCAGCTATGGGAACCCCACATGCACTGTTCAGAAGGAAGGAGACAGTCTTCTTGGGAGTATACAAGGTAATGATGAGATCATGTGTATTTAACCATTGAAAGCCTTTATTTCCTTGACTCTCTCACTCCAGATACATTGTCTATGATATTGCTCAGGTAAATCTGAAGTATCTACTGAAATTGAGGTTCAACTTTAAGACCTCTCTGTGGTGAACAGATAGCACTTGCCTAGTGCTTAGGCTGGACCCCTGTAGTTCTGCTGTAGCATTGAGCTGCCTGGTAGGCTTAAATATCAATGACCCTTTCAGAAATATCAAAAGAGCTGAGTTGCAGACAACTCTTAACTTCACTAAATCTTCTCCATAAGGATTTTATATAAACAGATGGCCATATGTTGAAAAGAATTTTTTTCCCAAGCCTAAGTCTCTGGGTTTTGTTTGTCTCTGGGGATTTGATTCCCCACCCACTCAAGTTCCATGCACCCCCTGGGGCATAACAGATCTCCTGTAACTGACAAGTGTGAAAAAGTTGGAAGAAAAATGGTTTTACATAAAATAAGCATGGGGGGAGGGATTTTTAGAGAGGGAAATTACAATGTGATGTTTACATCATTAGATTTCAAAGGAAAATAAAGTGCTTCCGACTCTTTCTAAATGTTCCTCAGTTTTGATTTTGGAAAAAGTGTTAAGCACATTTATTTTAAGGTAAAAATAAAAGCTAATTTCATACTAATTAGTTCTTTTTTTTTTCTTTTGTAGTCTTTAATTCCCCCTTTTGATCTTTTTTTTTTATGATTTGGTTTTGTGAAAACTGTAAGTAGCTTCATTTACTTAGAGTTGAGGGTCTTCTAAATTATAAATTCTTCAACATTTGGTTCTGGGAATGTGTCCTGTTGTGAATGAAAAGCAATGTTCACAATTCTTACCTTGACAGTTTGTGCCTAGAATTTAAAAATATGCACCTGAGGGCTAATGGTCACTGTCAAATTAAAGTAGAAATGCCACCTTATGTCATGTGTGCCTGTTCAGTGCTAGCTCTGAGCATTGTTTTGTTTTTGATGATGCAGCATATGTACCTGTTTATGAGCAAGGACCACAAATATCCAGGGGTGTGTTAATGACAACAAATGTAAGTTACAAGCAGCAAGCAGAACTCTGCCCAGTGGGGAGCAACTCCATTATTTTCATCCAAGAGGCATCATGACTTCATAGAAGCCGTGTGGCATAATGGATAGGGTACCAGACTTGGAATTGAAAATCTGGGATCAAATCCTGCCTGAGACACAACCTCTCTATGCTGCCTCAGTTTCTTCATCTATAAAATGAAACAGATGTGATGGCCACTAAGATATCAAAGTTCATGCCGTAAATAGAACTTTAAAAACTATATTACCATTTTTTTTAAAGGTGTCCTAGGATAAAGAAAAGGTTTATTTCTTGTAGGTGTAGAGTTTGCTAGCCTTCGGTGCCCTCCCCCCCCATTAGTCTTTCCATTGATTTTCATTTTAATTCTTCCAAAATTATACCAGTACATGATCCAAAATTATACCAGTACATGATTTGTATTGTTCAGATGTACCAGCCTCACTGGGGAAATAGAGGGGCTTTTGTATTAGCAAGCAATTTGGAGTCATTGAGAGTTTCCAAAATACCATCTAGCCTGAAATTGTCCCACTGGCCCCATCTCTTTGTCTATCTACAGCATCTGTTTGAGATACACATAGTGACTGAATTAACTCAATGTGCTGTCCACCCAACTACATGTCATAGTTTGGGCAGCCTACTCCTTTTTCATCCACTTTGGTTTTTCAAGCATGGATGATTGAGCCCATCATTTACACACTGTTAAAGTTTTCACAGAAAAGGATTAATTGAAGACACAGTGCATGAAGAATCTTTTTTTTTTAAATATGTCCCATAAGACCCATTTTCTTCCTAGTTTGTTGTACGTGATTGGTAAGTGCACAAAAGCATGTTGAGTTACATCTGTTGTCGTTGCATAACAATACATGGGGTATGTTTTGGGGCAGGCTTTCAAGGCCATGTTATATTCTACCAAGTCCATTTTTTTTTTAATTAGTAGGTAGCAAGTTAGACTGTAATCTCAGTTAATAAGCTTAAGCACTTAACATATTCTGGGCACTATGCTAAACACTAAGGATACAAAGAAAGAAAGAATCCTTACCCTCAATGAGCTTACTTTGTAATGGGATAAACAACATTCGAGAAATTCTACCTACAATATACATGCAACATAGACAGAAGGTAATGGTGTTTATCCCTTGTTTTCAAAGAGGACTTACGACGTCATGGGGTGATGTCTTGACTATCTCATGGATTGGATTCAAGTGAGGCAGAGTTGCACGAAGTTGTCAGCTTCCCTCTTCCAGAGTCATCCAAGTCCAGTGGCAAGACAAGTCAGGATGACTGGCTATGGCGTGGGATTCAGTAGATAACATTGGCATCGTTGATGTCTGACCAAGCTCTAAGTGCTCTATAGTGCCTGCTTCAGCCAGCTTCGTGGCCTTTGGAACAAGTTCTCATCTGCCCATTCTGCCAAGGAAGGTCTTCACATGCTTGGGGGTAAACAATTCCCTAACTCACCAATACATTTGAGGCCTATTGCTTACTCTCAACCTGGTTTAGCCCATCTGCTGAGATGGTTTTACTGGGGTGTGGCTGCTGCACATGCTACAGCTTGGGGCCACAGGCAGAGTGTCAGGTGGACACCAAAGATGGATGAGCAGGCCTGAAAAGGGCTCGGCAAGCCCTTACGCTAGAGGTGCTAGTCTCCCATGAACACCCATAGACCCGACATTAGCAACAGATGGGGCTAGAAAAGGTTTCCTTTAGAAGGTGGAGTATGAGCTGACTGTCAGAGGAAGGCAAGAGACAGAAATGAGGTGGGAAACCATTTTGGCCGTGGGAGTCAACCAGCAGAAAAGAATGGTGTGTAGTGTGAGGAACAGCAAGAAAGCCAATGTTGCTATTTCATTGAGTACACAAAGGAGCCCTGTTGCCAAAGACTTTGAAAACCAAACAATTAGATTTTATTTTTTGACTAGATAATGTCAATAGATAATGGGGTTAAGTGACTTGCCCAGGGTCACATAGCTAGTAAGTGTCAAGTGTCTAAGGCTGGATATGAACTCAGGTCCTCCTCACTCTAGGGCCAGTGCTGTATTTCACGTACCACCTAGCTGCCCCCCCAAACAATTTGATTTTAGAAGTAGTAGGGAGCCACTGGAGATTGAGTGGGGAGTGGGCAATAACATGGTTCAGACCTTTGCTTTAAGAAAATCACTGACAGGGGCAGCTAGATGGCATAGTGGATAGAGCACCGGCCCTGAAGTCAGGAGGACCTGAGTTCAAATCCGGCCTCAGGCCAAACACTTGACACTTAACTAGCAGTGTGACCTTGGGCAAATCACTTAACCCCAATTACCTTTAAAAAAAAAAAATCACTGACAGCTGAGTGGAGGATGGATTGGAATGCAGAAAGGCCTGGAAAAAGGTAGACCAACCAGAAGGCTTTTGCAGTAGTCCACAAGTCTGGGGTGATGAGAGCCTGTGGCAGGGTGTTGGCTGTTAGTGGAGAGAAGGGATCTTATACTAACTATTATTGTGAATATAAGACAAGTAAGGGCAACAGATTGGTTATGCGGGTTGAGTAAATAGAGGAGTTGAAGGTGGCAGTGCCCAGAACAGTAATAAGAAAGTTTGAGAGAAAGTAGTATGGGGAGAAAGATGATGAATTATAGCAGAATAAGAAATACAGTCTAGCTTACCCACCAAACCTCTTCCATAAAGATCTAGGAAGTGTGCCAGACTGGATTCTGTTGGGAAATTAAAGAAAAGGTCATAGTAATTTTTCCAGCCGTGGGAAGGCTTAGAAGTCAGCAGATACTAGGGATGAGGTCTGGCCAGGGGTATGCTGCACAGAGCACTTAAGTGTCCAGGAACTGAGCCAGAACTGGGCATCAGGCAAGAAGAGGTTCCCCAGGGATCCTTGAACAAACACAATGTGCCATCTGGTAGTTTCAGGGCAGAGAGTCCTAAGGGAGTGGTTGCTAGCAGGAGCCCTAGCTTGACTACTGAGCCAGCATCAAGTTCAGAGGCAAATGATAACTGTGGCTCTGATCCCAGGACCAAAGTAAGAACTGGCTTTTTTTGTTTTGTGAGGCAGTCAGGGTTAAGTGACTTGCCCAAGGTCACACAGCTAGTACGTGTCAAGTGTTTGGTCTGAGGCCAGATTTAAACTCAGGTCCTCTTGACTTTAGGGCCGGTGCTGTATCCACTGCGCCACCTAGCTGCTCCAAGAACTGGTTTTTTAACCTACAGCCCAGAGTAGAAGACTGATGGAATAACCAGGGTAGAAGTCTCTAACCACAACTGGCCTACAGTTAAGAATGACTGAACTACAGTAACTTTAAGCCTACAAAAAGCAGACTTGAAAAATGAGCAAACTGACATAAAAGACCTTGGGTATACTTTGAAAAAAAAAAAAATGAGCAAACCAAAAAAAAGAATCCCACTATACAGGGCTATTATGATGACCTAGGAAAAGAAAATGATTTCAAAAGCAAAGTCTCAAAAGAAAAAGTTTGAACACAAGTCTAGTTCCTAGAAGAATTAAAACAAAGAGTTAAATGAAGAGCTAAATTATTTTTAAAATCAAATGAAAGCTATAGAAGCTATGAAAAAAGAGAATCAACCATTTGGAGCAAGAGGTACCATAAAAACTTACTTAACTCCCTGAAAATTAGAATCGACCAAATAGGAACTAATGACTCCATGAGACATCAAGAAATATTAAAACAAAACTCAAAAGATTGCGGGGGAAAAAATAGAAGAAAAATGACAAGTTTCTTACAACAAAAACAACTGACCTAGGAAACAGATCAGGAGAGGTAATTTTAAGTTGTTGGACTACCCGAAAGCCAGGACCAAAAAAACCCAAAGATAATTCTGTTTTGGACATGTTGAGTTTAAGATGTCTGAGAGGAAATTAGGAGAGAGACTATGCTGGAAATAATTTGCATAGTGATGGTAAACCCGTGTGCGCTAATGAGATCACCAAATGAGATAGAGAAAAAAGTCCAAGATAGACTCCTGAGGGACATTTGTGATAAGTGGGAATGACATGGATGAAGAACCAGCAAAGAAGATTGAAGAAGCAGTGGTCAGAGAGGTAGGAGAAGAACTTGGAGAGTGCAATGTCACCAATGTCTGAGGAGGAGAGAGAATAGAGGATGAGGGCTATAGATGAAACTGAAAGAATACAGAGAGATGAAGGAGTGTGAGGACTGAGGAAATGTAATTAGATTTGGCAACTAAGAGATCCTTAGTAATTGGAGAGAGCAATTTCAATTGAATAATGAGGTGGAAAGCCAGGTTGCAAAAGGTTTAGATTGAGTGAGTGGAAAGAAAGTAGAGCCATAAAGGTTAGAACACCTTCCCAAGATATTTGTCAATAATGGCAGGAGAGATACAAGATTGAAGCTGGGAGGGTTGAGTAAGACCTTTTTAAGAATGGGGGATTGGGCTGTTTTTTATCTTAATTTGGTATTTACTTTGACTTTTATTGGAAAGAGTGGATCAAATCACTATGTAATTTGTCAATTCATGCCTATTAAGATAAGTCACTCTCCACTG